AGTGGCAGCAGTGGCAGCAGCAGCGGTAGTAGTAGGAGCAGCAGCAGCAGCAGGAGTAGTAGTAGTAGTAGTAGTAGTAGTAGTAGTAGTAGTAGTAGTAGTAGTAGTAGTAGTAGTAGTAGTAGTAGTAGTAGTAGTAGCAGCAGCAGCAGCAGCAGTACTAGTAGTAGTAGTAGTAGTAGTAGTAGTAGTAGTAGTAGTAGTAGTAGTAGTAGTAGTAGTAGTAGTAGTAGTAGTAGTAGTAGTAGCAGGAGGACTGGTGGTAGTAGTAGTCGTTCACCCTCAAGTGCAGAGGGGTGACATCTTGCGCAGCATATCCAAAGGCAGCTCTTGTCCAGAGTACCTTGGGAGCAGGCTGTATTTGGAGATGTTGGACACAAAAAGCAGAGACTGGCACATGCCGACTGTTTTTGCAGCCATATCACATGGGCAGCTGGGGATACGAGTCCTGAGCTGGCAGCTGAGCAAGCCATCGTGGGCAACAGTCAGGTAGGTGGGGCATTGAAGCTGATCATGTCATTGCAGGTTCACAAATTGAAACTTTCATTCTAACTTTGGAAGATGTGGAGGTTTGCTCTGTAGGAAATTCTTAACGAAACGAAATCAAGATGAGGAAACCCAAGTGTTTTGCAAATTTCCAAGGACCCGGACCCAACAATCACCCTAAGCCCAACCCTTGCTTGGCAGTTTGTATGAAGACTCAGAGCCATAAGACAAGCCTTCTCGATTGAAATCTCAGGTTTCCTTATTCCGGAAGGTAATAACGAGCGTCAGTGTCAGAGATTTCCTGTTCTAGATGAAAAGAACTCCTGAATTTCCTAAGACTGATTTCCGACGACAACTGGAACTTCAGGATTTCCCAACGAAGAGCGAAAACGCCTCAAATCGCAAAAATCAGACAGGATGACTCCTATGAACGTCTGGAGAGGTCTGGGCTTTGAGAGAAGTAGTGGATGGCATACAAATCCGAGCTAAACCAATAAACGATACAAGAAAACCCAAAATACAAGATACATTACATAATTTCGCGGCTAAGTACTATGCCCCACGGATTCAGCCCTGAGGGAGCGCGAAACGGGGCAAAGACTTCGCTCTTGCTCTTGAGGGTTTAGCCTCTCCTTGCCGTTGCATTCCTTGCAATTGCATGCAGAGATGCTGCCGGTGGCCGCATGGCAGTCTGCCGTGCGGACCCCTGAGAGCATGAATTCACTGGAGCTTACTGAGCACACTTCCACCGTCAACGTCGTTTGCCTCCGCTGCCCGGCTTCTGCCGTAGACCTCGGTCGCTGAACCGTACAACAAAGGCAACTTAATACGGATGGCCACACCTTTGTGCCGCCAAGGAGCCATGTGGTAGGGTCCAGCTGGACCATGCTCAATCAGCTCGCTATCATCCAAGTCCTCCGCGTCACTTCTCGACATGACGCCTGCCATCACAATTGCTCTCAGAGGCTTTTTGAGCCTTTCACGAACACCGCTTTCACACACAGCTTTCAACTGGCAAGCTGCTGGAGTTGGAGCGACTCATGGAGCCACCTCCTCGCCTTGAAGCTCAAACGACGAACATCACTGAAAATGCCCAGATAAGGTAGGCTCTGCCCATCTCTGCCCTCGTTCACTCTGTCTTGTGTTCTTTCTTGGCGCCAAAGCCACTCTGCTCACCATTCTCTTTTCCTTCTTCGCACTCAGCCAAGACAGGCCTCCAATAGGGCCTCCAAAGCCCCGCGCCAGCCGGTTTCTCTGCCCTGTCCCCTACGGCCCTACGGTCCACTGCAGTAGCTGCACGAGCCTTCCCGTCGCAGTCCGAAGACCCGCAATCCCAGATGGGTCGGCAGATGAATGCCAACGAGGTGCGAACGAAGGACAATGTTTTGACGAGCGAGAGAAGGGGAGCAAAACAGCCTCTCTCCCTCTCTCCCTCTCTCCCTCTCTCCCTCTCTCCCTCTCTCCCTCTCTCCCTCTCTCCCTCTCTCCCTCTCTCCTCTCTCCCTCCTCTCTATCTCGTCCTCCGCTCTCCTCTGCTCTCTTCCCTCTCCCTCTCTCCTCTCTCCCTCCTCTCTCTCCCTCTCTCCCTCTGCTCCCTCTCTCCCTCTCTCCCCTCTGCCTTCTCTCCTCTCTCCCTCTCCTCCCTCTCTCCCTCTCTCCTCCTCTCTCCCTCTCTCCCTCTCTCCTCTCTCCCTCTCTCCCTCTCTCTCCTCCTCCCTCTCTTCGACCTCTCTCCCGCTCTCCTCTCTCCCCCTCTCTTCCCTCTCTCCCCCCTCATCTCTCCCCTCTCTCACCTCTCTCCCTCTCTCCTTCTCCCTCCTCCCTCTCTCCTCCCTCCCCTATCCTCCTCTCCTCTCTCCCTCTCTTCCTCTCGCCCTATCCCATCTCTCCCTCTCTCCCTCTCTCCCTCTCTCCCTCTCTGCCCCTCTCTGCCCGTCTCTCCCTCTCTCCCTCCTTTTTTCATGTCCCTAGCACACGTCAGCAGCTCAATGAAATCAGGCTGGCATGTGTCAGGGCTGAAGTCGAGGCCAGGGTGCTGCGGATACCAGAACAGCACTGAGCTGGCACTGGATGTACAATCGAGCTTGCCTGCAAGTAGATGTGTCAAACGCCTAAACGACGACGTCAAGCCTTGTCTCCACATGTCTGCTTGAGCAGAGGGGCTGTCACTTGCTGACCGCGCGAGTGTTCGTGGCGGATCCTCATCTTGGTTCTCTTCATAGCCACCTGACACTAACATGGCAACCAACCCATATAAGGCAGCAACAAGTCCGCCGGAGACTGGCTTCATCATGTACTGAGCTCTGTTGCACAGACTGGCATTGCTCAGGTTGACTCGTCGCACTGCAGAAAGCTCCCTTGTGGCCCTGCCTATGAAGGTGTTTTTGATGACGAGCTTCATTTGACCAAAGGACTGGTTGTCCCCTCCATTCGATGACTGGCTAGGGGACTCACCTGCGTGTCAAAGATTGTCAAAGGTGTCGCAGATTCGCAACTTCGCAATTACATTGTGACTACATACTGCTGCTATCCCATCACTTCGTGGTTTTTACAACTGGCCTGAACGAGCCGATCTTGCAGAATCCTGAGTCTGTGGTTCTGGAGCCTCCAACGGCTCGCCTTCCTGAGCAAAAAAAAGACACAAAATGAACACAAGGCCGAGGCGTCTCAGCTTCACCAGCCTCACGCTTCGGGATACCGAACAAGCGCATGCCCTTAACCTCGACACAGTTCGGACATTCAGAGAGGGTCGGAGATGTGACCAGAAGTGCTTGCGCACTCGAACGGTAAGAGCTCGGCAACGTCTCGCGCGAATGCGCGACCTGTATACCCCCCCAAAGACTGGAAGCTTGTTATAGGGCATACACATATATTACTCGCTTCACCACGGATCCAGAAAGATCAGAACGCGTGGAGACCAGTTGCAACCATCTCTGCCTGCAACAATCAGCCAAGATGCTAATTGAGCTTCGCCTGCGGATGTGTTAAGGGAACCTCAGCCACGGGAGCACAAAGTGGAGAAAATTGACAAAACAGAACTGCCAAACCAATTCCTACCAAGGAACAGACCACCCTAATGATGGATGTTCAACTACGCTCTTGAGCCTGAAATTTCAAGACACAAATCTCGAGCTTTCGCCTCAGCAGGGAAGTGCGAAACCATGTCCTTTAGAAGGCGGAAGAGATACTCTAGGTGCGGTCCTTTGCAACCGTGCTTCATGCACCAACTTGCATGGGCAAGTCAAGGCATCACTAAGACATCACGCTTCTGGTCATGTTTCAGTTGAAGATATCAAGGAGACATCTTTCATCTTAGCGCTTGTCCAGCTCTGCGCTACATAAGGAACCTGAAGATGTTTGAGCGACGCTTGCAAGAAACTTGCAGGCAGAATGACATTTTCGGCTCGCCACGCTCACGAAAAAGGCTGCCGCGACTTCTCGCATCCAGTTAGGGCGAGGTGTACTCAGTGTCAGCCTTCTTGGAGTACTCCTGTAGCTGCTGCTGGGACTTCTTCAGCCGCTCCTCCTTGCTGGGAGCTGCCTCGAACATGCTTTCAACATTGCCGTGAAAATCGTCTGCCCTGCAGCTACACTGCTACACCTCCTTTCCCTATAAACCTTTGCATCGAGCCTGGAGCTTGGCGCTTGCCTTCTGCATCTCCTCCTTGAACTTGGCAGCTCGCGCTTCCTGCCACTCTAAATCGCAGGCAAAGAAGCTGAGCTGCAACAGTGTTCCCAGGCCTTCGGCGACACTGCCGGCGCCGCATCCTCTGCCCAGCTGCTTGCAGGCGCGGCGAGGCCCACAATCAATCCGGCCAGCATGCTCAGGACCACAGCCTGGCCAGCAGCGCTGGCGTCAGTCGGAGCCTCCACAGTCTCCATCCTGCTAGGCAGGCGTCGCGGTGTTGCAGGCTGCGAGGGGGGCTCCACCGGCACCACGAAGGCCTCGCACATCGCAAGGCCCAGGGCGGCCAGAAGCATGAAGCAGCGAGCCATGGCTCGTAGCAAGTCACCCAGGCTCTGCAACGTCAGCCAAAACCAAAACAGCTAGCGACCGCTCACCCCACTCTGCCCGGTGCTGCTGGGCGACATGCATCCAAGCAGGTGCTGCACTACTGAACTTATTCAACAGCACGCACTTTTTGTGCCTTGTTCTCTCACGGCATCCATGAAAAAGGTTGCCGCCCTCGTACGCACTTAGGGCGAGGTGTACTCAGTGTCAGCCTTCTTGGAGTACTCCTGTAGCTGCTGCTGGGACTTCTTCAGCCGCTCCTCCTTGCTGGGAGCTGCCTCGAACATGCTTTCAACATTGCCGTGAAAATCGTCTGCCCTGCAGCTACACTGCTACACCTCCTTTCCCTATAAACCTTTGTATCGAGCCTGGAGCTTGGCGCTTGCCTTCTGCATCTCCTCCTTGAACTTGGCAGCTCGTGCTTCCTGCCACTCTAAATCGCAGGCAAAGAAGCTGAGCTGCAACAGTGTTCCCAGGCCTTCGGCGACACTGCCGGCGCCGCATCCTCTGCCCAGCTGCTTGCAGGCGCGGCGAGGCCCACAATCAATCCGGCCAGCATGCTCAGGACCACAGCCTGGCCAGCAGCGCTGACGTCACTCGGAGCCTCCACAGTCTCCATCCTGCTAGGCAGGCGTCGCGGTGTTGCAGGCTGCGAGGGGGGCTCCACCGGCACCACGAAGGCCTCACACGTCGCAAGGCCGACGGCGGCCAGAAGCATGAAGCAGCGAGCCATGGCTCTTCGTAGGCTCTCAGCAAGTCACCCAGGCACGGCAGGCCACTCGGCGGCCAAAACCAAAACAGCTAGCGAACGCACGAACTCTGCCTGGTGTTGTTGTGCAACTTGCATCCAAGCAGGTACTGCACTACTAAATGTATTCAACGCGCATTTTTCTGATTTTTTCTCGCACGGCATCCATGAAAAAGGCTGCCGCACTCATACGCACTTAGGGCGAGGTGTACTCAGTGTCAGCCTTCTTGGAATACTCCTGTAGCTGCTGCTGGGACTTCTTCAGCCGCTCCTCCTTGCTGGGAGCTGCCTCGAACATGCTTTCAACATTGCCGTGAAAATCGTCTGCCCTGCAGCTACACTGCTACACCTCCTTTCCCTATAAACCTCTGCATCGAGCCTGGAGCTTGGCGCTTGCCTTCTGCATCTCCTCCTTGAACTTGGCAGCTCGCGCTTCCTGCCACTCTAAATCGCAGGCAAAGAAGCTGAGCTGCAACAGTGTTCCCAGGCCTTCGGCGACACTGCCGGCGCCGCATCCTCTGCCCAGCTGCTTGCAGGCGCGGCGAGGCCCACAATCAATCCGGCCAGCATGCTCAGGACCACAGCCTGGCCAGCAGCGCTGGCGTCACTCGGAGCCTCCACAGTCTCCATCCTGCTAGGCAGGCGTCGCGGTGTTGCAGGCTGCGAGGGGGGCTCCACCGGCACCACGAAGGCCTCGCACGTCGCAAGGCCGAGGGCGGCCAGAAGCATGAAGCAGCGAGCCATGGCTGGTAGCAAGTTGCCCAGGCTCTGCAAGCCACTCAGCAGGCAAAACCAAAACAGCTAGCGACCGCTCAGGCCTGTCTGACCGGTAGTGCCATGCAACTTGCATCCAAGGATGTGTGTCGTCCTACTCAGTTAAGCTCTACAACACGAATTGTTTTGCGCCCTGGTTTCTCACGGCGTCCATGGAGAAAGGCTGCCGTGGCTGCAGCGCTACTCATACGCACTTAAGGCGAGGTGTACTCAGTGTCAGCCTTCTTGGAGTACTCCTGTAGCTGCTGCTGGGACTTCTTCAGCCGCTCCTCCTTGCTGGGAGCTGCCTCGAACATGCTGTCAACAGTGCCGTGAAAATCGTCTGCCCTGCAGCTACACTGCTACACCTCCTTTCCCTATAAACCTTTGCATCGAGCCTGGAGCTTGGCGCTTGCCTTCTGCATCTCCTCCTTGAACTTGGCAGCTCGCGCTTCCTGCCACTCTAAATCGCAGGCAAAGAAGCTGAGCTGCAACAGTGTTCCCAGGCCTTCGGCGACACTGCCGGCGCCGCATCCTCTGCCCAGCTGCTTGCAGGCGCGGCGAGGCCCACAATCAATCCGGCCAGCATGCTCAGGACCACAGCCTGGCCAGCAGCGCTGGCGTCACTCGGAGCCTCCACAGTCTCCATCCTGCTAGGCAGGCGTCGCGGTGTTGCAGGCTGCGAGGGGGGCTCCACCGGCACCACGAAGGCCTCGCACATCGCAAGGCCCAGGGCGGCCAGAAGCATGAAGCAGCGAGCCATTGCTCTTAGTAGGCTCTCAGCAACTCACCCAGGCACTGCAGGCCACTTGTCAGCCGCAACTCAGGCAGCGAAAGCTCACCACTGTGTTGCTGCGTGCCTTGATTTGGCATCAGGCCATGACAATAGAAACGACGATGAGAAGTGAAGTGTTTTCCACACGCGCCACAGGCAAGCGGGAGTGCATTGGCAATGGCTTCAAAGCATCTGCTTCCAAACACAAGGTCTTCAATGTGCTAGGGCAACAGTTGGTCTTTCTTGATCATGAGTGACAAGCACTGGTTTACTACCCAAGTACCGTACCTGACATCATGTCTCTACAACGTTTATCCTGTTGAGTGGAGTTCTTTCTTGCTCCATGTGGTCGCAGTTCGGACCTCACCTGAAACCAGATGCCGAAGGGTCGGTGACAAGCTCACAGGCTTTGCCCGCCGCTTTGCCATTCTGCATTTGCAAACAGCTGTGCTGGCTCTGTAACCGCAACGAGCTTGTGCTACCAGGAACCAAGCTGAGACGTGCTTCGTCCGTCACTTGACTCGCTTGACACTCAAGGCTTTCTGGCTTTATGTATCGCTCCTGCATGCCGATTCATGGCGCGACCATGGTCAAGCAATGCCACTGCGTCCACCCCACACTTCGTACGTAAGCCCCCTCGCCTGAAATGAAAGTATGTTGGAGTGAGCACAAGGGGGACCGCTCCTGCTCCTGGCAAGCAAACACACATCTTGCTAATTGTTGCACACAGCTGCCACCGTGCAGACCTGAAGCAACCACTGAGCACAAAACACTTTTGAAGCACTTTTGAACCATCTTGAACCTTTCGGTTAAGCCGATTAAGCCACGGCTAAGCCGGTTAAAAGCCCACCTGCATCCTTCGAGGGCCTGGCCACCGGCTCAGTCATGCCCTGCCACATCGCAAAACTTAAGGAACACCAAGAGATACCAAGAGCCAAGTTAAAGAGGAAAATATCTTTGTGCTTTTGTGCTCGACATGTCCCTCTCCCAAACTCCTGTTTCGGCAGCCTCTGGCTTCGGCAGCTTCGGGGGCTCCGGCGGCTCCGGCGGCGGCTCCGGTGGCTCCGGAACCACAGCCTCCTTACAGCATACTAGGGCAGATGAAAAAACCTTGCTTCTCTGAAATCTCAGAAGCCGAAGCCGAGAAAACCGCCGTGTTCCGAAAAAAGAACGCTCTCCTCCTTTGGCCACTCCGTTCGCTCCGCGCGCGCGGCCGCGGCCCCGGCAGCCCAGGAGGCCTCCAAGCAAAAAGAAACCGCCATGTGCGAAGCAACGAAGCAATGCGGCGCGGGTCACCTGACGATCACCATGTGCTTTGAGCAAGATTTCATGCCAAGACTGATGCTACTGCTGGGGAATGCCTCCTGAACAAGCAGCGCTCTTGCTGGCTTTTCAGGTGCCCTCTTCAACGAAATCACAGGGTATATAGAGAGAGCCAAACGAGCCAAATCGAATCTGCCAAGGTGCGAGACCCAAACCCCGGGCATCCCCGGGCCTGCAACTCCTGGAGCCAATTGTTTGGCCGGGCCTCATCTCGGCCCAGAGGCAACCTGCCGCGGTCCGCATGAGGGGCACTTCTGAAACAGCAGTGAACTCGAGACATCCATGGTGAATGTAGTGCTTCGGAGAACCGATATCGTCTATGCCAGCAAGCCCAGTGCCACGTCAGGCCTCCTTTGCAGCTTCAGTCTCTCTTCTTCACCTGACATTGGTGACAACAGTTTGCTCTGGCGACCGATATGGCATCACATCTGTGTATGCATGGAAGATTTGTGGTTGGGAGTTAATTTTAGCATGCACAGGTCGACGGGCTTCTGCCTTTGGATGTCATCTTCTCACGCAAGGAGGCTAAACTTGGACGCATGCCCTGCAAGCTGCCAAGAAATAACGTCCATGCTACCAGCGTATCCGTGCGCCAGCTGTCGGTTGTGAATTTCCAAGTCCTAGCCTGTAAACCAAATCCCTACACCCCAGCAGACGTGCAGTGCAAAACCCAAAAACCCTAAACCTTAAACAGTCAACCCAATGAGCGGTGCAGCGAAAAACTCAAAACCCAAGACCTGCATTTTGAACCCAAAGCCCAGACGCCGTGCAAAGCCTAAACCTTAAAGCCAAAAAAACGCGCAATGCAAAGCCCGAAACCCAACACCCCAAAACTCTAATCCCCATCGAAAACGGGTACAGTCAACATTTTTGGTGTTTGGCACGAAACGTACGGAAAATGTCATGTGTGCTGACAAAATGCCCGTACAGAAAATGCGCGCCAAAAAACACACACGGGAAACTTTTCCGCGGTGAGTTTTTGGGACTTCTTGCGCCCATACCTTAGTTCTTGTCGGTTTGGGGCGTGGCCGAATGCGGGCTCTGGCCTTCAACCCTAAAACTAACCCAAAATTGTGTAAGCTGTTTTGGGCTGTAGAACCTAGGCAGATGTAGGTATTGGGATAAGGGTTTGCCTTGCAATGGGTTGTGTGCTGGTGGGGTGGACGGCGTCGTCGACCCAAAACGGGAATGGCCAGATCTAAGTGTCAGGAGCAATCAAAGACAAACTGTTCGAGGCTTTTTGTGTCAAAATGTCGAACAGCATCGAACCCTTGGTGCACCTTCTGCCATTAGGGGCACAGTTGGCCAGGCGATGTTCACCTGGGGAGGGCCAAGGCGGCCAGGAGATGCTAGGACCGCTGGAGAAGTGAGCTCTGCTCTCTCTCAGCGGAGATCTTCTGAGCCTCTGGCATGGCCAGTCAGGGTTGGCGAATCTGCAGCCAAAACGGCATTCAGCTCGGCTTTGCCATTCACGGGACCTGTGTCCTGACGCGAGAAACCCGCTGCATGAGCACTGAAAGCGCGCACTGGAAGCGAGCTGCAGATCACCTCAACAACGGCTGAGATGCGCTTCGCCAGCTGCGACTGCAGCATCTGACGGAGAGGAATTTGATCCATAACTTCGCGTCTTCGATTATCTTCGACTGTCTTCGCTTCGACTCGATTAGGTTAGATTCGCCTCGGCTTCAGCCGAGAGGCGTCGAGAACGAGCAGACCAGGTTCTCCCCCCCCCTCCCCAACCCTCCCCCCCCTTGGATCCCCCCCTTCTGGAACTTTGTGGGACCCCTTGCTATTTCTTGGAACCGTCCTGGGACCTGGCCCCTCAAACTACCCACGGCCCCTGAACCTCCCGAGAAACCTCCCTGTGTACGCTGCACCATGTTGACATTCCAGCCCGGCTGCCGAGGCGGCGCGCAAGCGTTTGCAACTAGAGTCGCCTCGAGCTCCGTGAGTCCACTATCGTCCAGTCCTGCGGCTTCAGAGACGGAGGCTTCTGAGGCTTAAGGATGCTACCTAGTGTGAACAACTGTGAACCAACAAGGTCGTGAAGCTGAGCGCAAGCAACAAGAACCCACTTGAATCCACTTGCCGCCACTTGCCTTGGTGCACATCAATGACATCCATGCCCAGGCCGGGACTCCTCGAGCACTGCAAGCGGTATCATCGCTTCGCTTCCGGATTCCTCCCCTGTTGATCCCTGTTGCCTGGGAGGCGGCCGGCCAGGCCAGCCGGTCGCTTCGGAATGTCGCCGGTGTCGCCTGCGCTGGGGCCGCTAGGTGCTGATGCGGGGCTGATGCGATGAAGGGCAGCGCATGACTGCGGTCATTTTCCCAACCTTCGTTTGTTTGGCCCTCCCCGTGGGGCTATTTTTCTCGACAGCTAGGTGAGTCAACACAATCTGGCCGGCCATGACGTTTGGGGCCCGGAAAGGCGCACCAAAGAGCAGCTGACCTGGGAAGGCTGGGATTTGCAACCGCGGCACACGCAATGCACATGCATTGCATGCTTCGCACTCGGAGCATGGCTTTGGTCCTTTGGCTCAACAGTTGGGCTCCTTCTGCCCTTCTATCCTTTGGCTCCTCCTTTGGCTCCTCCTTTGGCTCCTCCTTTGGCTCCTCCTTTGGCTCCTCCTTTGGCTCCTCCTTTGGCTCCTCCTTTGCCTCCTTTGAGGCTCCTGTGAGGCTCCTTAGAGGCTCCATTGAGGCTCGTTTGGCTCCCTCGGCCCAACCATCATCTGCACCAATGCCGGTCCAAGATCTTCATGTCTATCTTCACAGCTGATGCTGTCCCATATGACAGACCAAAAACCAGCTGTCAAGGTGTGTTGCAATGTTGCTTGGGTCTTGGGGAGTGCCTCGCCATTGCTCTCGAAGCTCTGCCAAGGCCCTATGCCTTCTCGGCTTCAGCAGCCTCTCCCTGACGCTGCCTTGAATCCTTCCTGTCATTCGTGGCCTCAAAGCAGGTGAGCACAAACTTCCGCCTTGATAAGCATGCATGAAGGTCAACCACGCCTGGTGACGTGGCTGACGGCTTCTGGCATCCTGCCACCATCACGGAGGAAACTTGCACAGCCCCGCCATGCCCCGCCCGAATCAACAAACATTCGACACAACGGGAGACAAAGCAAGGAGACAAGCGCAAGACCAGAAGTGGGGGACATCACACGATCCGGTTTTCCAGAGAGGACAAGAAGGGAGACAAGACAAGAGAAGAAGGAAGGAAGAAAGGACATGCTACCGATGCTACCTAGTCGTATTTTCTCTGGAGTACCTCTCTAGAATCTAGACGCCCTCCGCTGTCATGGGGAAGAGAGCTTAAACTTGATTCGCCAACTGCGGCAGCGCACCACTTCCAAGTCACTGCCTGGACATGCAACTGCAGTGCTCAGTGCTCCGTGTGACACGGGCATACAGGGGTTAGCGCTCTCCGAAGAATGCCTTCGTCCGCATCGCCAAGTGCCATCAGCTCCTCATAAAACCTCTGTGTGAAGCGCATTATAAGGGGGGATGTGGGGGTACAGTAGCACAGAGGGTTCATTTCCGAAAGTGGCGTCGTAAACATTCCACAACCGCTTTTCCATGACTCCTGAGCCGTTGAGTCATTGCTGCATTGTGAGACCCCGGCTCGAGAAGGGTCTCCATGTAAAGGGGCAGTTCCTCACTCCATGGCCCACAGGCACAGCATGGCACGCTGAAGCGGTTTTCAAAATTATCTGTGCTCCGGTGAAATCCCGGGTGATTCCAAGAGCATGGCTTCCTTGATGATGCCCGCGCCAAAGGGAAGCCGATGCAACGCGGAGAGCAATGCTGCCTCGGGAAGCACTGGAGCACTCAGCTTTTACTGCACTCTCTGCCCTCCTCTCGCGACCTCAACAGCTGCGTGAACAGAGTCCACAATGAAGTCCCTCCACTTCAAGACCTGCAGGCCGAACCAGCCACCAAGTGCATGAACATTGCAAGGAATCCGCAATGCGCACAACGCGCACAACCCGCATGATGCGCATGATGCGCTCCACTCAGATCCAGGCGGCCTGAGTGGCACCTCCGGGGAAACAGAGTACCTGCCAGGAAACCTAGATGCCCTAACATACTGTTGGTGCTTGCTTGGCAGCTGCACAGAGAGGCTTGCACCTCCTGACACGACAGCAGTGACAAAATCGAGACGCCTCAGCAAGCATAAGATCTTTCGATTCAATCTTTTGCCTGTTGCCCTGTCTGCGTGAGAGCGCGACACGCTTGGATTAGCCAGCTCCTCCGACTGCCTAGGATCTTCAAGCCGGGAATCTCAAAACAACTCAAGACAAGTGCGCTTTCTCCCAAACTCCCAAACGAGAAGGTATTGTGCCATAGTCCCTTCAACAGTCTTCAGTGTTCTTACCACTTCAACAGCCTATGTCGCCGAGGGCATGCCACAAAACAGCACTCCAAGAAGAAACCCATAAACAGGTACCAAAAGAAAAGGCACTCAAGAATCTCCAAGGATAACTTACTAAAAGTAGTCCACTTCAAGAGATTGCGAGAGATTTCGAGAGAGCACTCCAGGGCCCAGTGAGCATGCGGACCACAACGAGACTTTCGAGCGCGATTTCGCACTCGCCGTGAAGGAAAAACATGCTGTTTGAGGTGTTCGGGACACCTCTTGATGCTTGTGGGCCTATAGCAGCGACAGGGTCATCGTTCGTGAAAGGAAATGCATGAACTCCCACACACGCGCTCGCGGCACAATCCCGAAGTGCAAGCGCTGTTTGTGGAACTAAGTCTCTAGCACAGCCTCGTCGGACGCGGGCCCGCATCTACACACTGAGCAAGCACCTCGGCAACCATAGCGCTTGAAAAGAGGTTGTGAGTATGTGAATGCCTCTGCATCAGCTTCTCCATTCTGCCATGTAAAAGATTGCGGATGCCGTCGCCTCTTCGTGTTGTGTGCCCTTCGACGTCCAGTTGATGTACACCACGGGTTCATCCTGGACGCAGCGATCCCCACATGCCAAGAGCCGGCAAAGATCCGCACACGCAAAGACAGAGGCACACCTGCTTGCGTGGCAGTCCCCGGGGATACCTGCAAGAGCAGTGCTTCGACAGACGCTCGAATCAAAGAACCAAGGCCTCAAGCCAAAAGCGCGAGCCAGTCGTAGCGTGCGGAGCACGAGCTTTGTGGCTGCCCTGAAAGTCCAAGGCGCTCTCTCCGGCTCTCCGGCTCTCCGGCTCTCCATCCCGTAAGGGGCCCTCTAAGGCCCTCTAAAGGCTGAGCCTTGAAGCGGGCTGGCCATCCATCTTCACACCAAGGGTGAGGCAAACGGATCTTGCAACCTTAAGTTTCCCAAGCACCGCATCATTGGGGAGGGGAATCTCGGGGAACCTCATGAACCATCTGACGCCGGCACCAGCTCGAGTCGAGCATCCAGGCAGGCGCCCATCCGAAGCCTGGGATCTGAGAACACACGAACAAGGACCAAGAACTGGTGATTTCGCTCTGCCGCAGGGCCCCTACCTCGAACCGATGAGATCGCGGTGCCGGAGCCTAAGCCATGACCAGTCTCCATTCTACATACAATCAGCTCAGAGTTCTGAGTCTACAGAAGATGCTGCAGTGGCATGCTCTGCGCAGAGTATCAACGCGCACCAGATTCACCGCTCATCAAGGCCTTCAGCGGGCTTCCATGTCCCTCCCGAGATCGCCACACTAAGTCGGTGAGACATGATCAGACGGTATCAGACGGTATCAGACATGAGAGGGCCTCTGAGCGTCCCATGTAAAATCTCAGGGGGAACGTTGTCGAGACCTCACTGTGTCGTGTCATATGGCAGCACCGGCTTGCCAGGCCCTTGACAGCACCAATGGCCTTTGGGTCCAAAGTAGTAGAACCAGGGAGTGCCGGCATCCTCGTACTCCTCCCAATGCTCCCCGGGCGGTGGATCTGGAGGGGATGGCTCGTCTTCGAAGTCTGGCTCTTCGCTTTGCTCGGCCTTCACCTCCAGCTTCGGGGCCTTCAGGGCCTTCAGTGGCCCATGGGCCTCTCTTGGAGTCGCTCCTGGCGTCTCTTTGGGTGAGAAGGACGGGGGGGGAGGTAAGGGCGCCTTCTTGGGAATGGGGCGCACGACATAGGCTTCGGTGGAGCTCGCAGAGGCGCCCTTTTCACTTGCGCCTTTGCTTGGTTCAGTTGGATTCCGCGGCGACGGGTCCTTGCTGGACCTGCCCGAGCCCGACCTCTCAGATCTGCTAAACCCCGAGAACTGCCCCCTCTTCGGCATGACGTGGAGAATGGTGTCTCCACGCTCCTGCTGGACCTCGAATCGCAGCTGCATCCCATCTTCGTGAAACATGTGGACCCTCACCGCATGAAGAACTTCCTGCCGCGACACGCCTTCACGATGACCCCAAGTCTCCATGAGGTCCGTCAGCGAAAACGAGCCGCCGCTTACGCGTAGCCCACGGGGCCGGTTGGTCTGATAGCGTCCGAAGCTCGCAAGCATCTTCGAAATCCATCGTGTGCGGGCACTTTCGCTGAGAGAGTTGGGGCTTCGGCTCCGGTCTCGGCCTCGCATACCGAATCACAGCGGATCCATTCAAGTTTGGGAGCTTACACGTGTCGTTGCTGCTGCCAGGGGCGCTGAGTAAGGAGTGTGCTGGTCACAAGCAGTTGTCAGTCTTCTGTTCATTCTGACTCTTTCTGATTGGAATCCTGTGAGCCATAAACTGCAAGCAAAATGAGGCCCTGGAGAAGGCCTGGAAAATCCTGGGTCATGTTTTCCAACCCTGCCCAAGTCAACCACAACAACAGGAAAGAATGGAGAGAGTCCTACCCAAATCCAAGGCTCCCGTAAAGAATGCGTCACTAGTGCAATGCCAATGCCATGCCAAAACACTATGAAATGCTGCGATGCTGCAGAGTATTGCTTCACGATGCTCCACCAACAAGGAAGGATGCGGGCTACTCTCTGCGGCTACTATGCGGGCTATTCTTACTCCGGGGTCTATCACTTCATGCTGGATCGCTTCCACCCGTAATCATCAAAGACACACTTGAAATAGGTCAGTGAGCCAGGAGGGTCTTGCAGCACAGTGCACAACATAGCATGAGGCCTTTGGGTGTTTTTGGACGCTCCAATGCCGTGGGCTTGTCATGGTGCGCAGCTTGGGCGGAAACTTGTCAGACAAACAGCCCAGGACCCGCGCGTCCCTCGGCAAGGGTTTCGGGACACAAACAGGGCCATCCTGTCGTAGATTTCCAAGAGTGGGGCACAAACCCCTGGCGGAAAGTTCTGGCACCTCCGGACCCAACCCAAACTAACCAACAAAGCTTCTATGCTGTTGCTGGCTCCTGATTCACTGATGTGTGGATTGGCCATGAGGCGCTTCCGCAGACTCTTGGAGGTGTCCTTATGGAACTTCGTACGTGGAACCTCGCGCACTTTGCGCACTACTGCTGTACATAGAAATACACAGAGCGAGCAACTGCTCCCAGGCTCTGCCAGTAGCATGGTTGTTCAGCAGCCCTTCAAATCGAATTGGTGAAGGGTAGCGGGTAAAGAATACACTGGACACATCTACATCGCATGCCATGTCCGGCATGAAGGAGGCCCTGATGCATCGTCCAAGCCTCAAGCCTATCTTGGCGAACACGATCTAAGCACATGAACAGTGTGGGCTGCCGAGGTGCTGAGCTTTGCGCTACATGGCCACATGTTGAGTCTTCCTGCTTGGATGAGCTTTTCAGAACAGATAAACTGCCTGCATTGGAGGTCGAGACGCACTGCCAACTGCAGCACGCAAGGGAACTTATGATGGCCCAGCAGACTGGGCCAGCTTCAGTCCTACAAGGAGCCACTTGACTCACTTGAGAAGCATCAGCGGGGCGTGAGGATAGATATCACGAGCCTAGTTCAGATGTGCATTGCAAGTACCACAGCTCAGAAATCGATGTGTCTCCCTCTCTATGCGATGAGAGGACAATGGGTCTGCTGTCTGCACAGCATTCCCGTCTGTCTTGTCCAAGCAGGCGCTTGAAGAGTCAGGGGAAAACTATGATGCAGAACAATTCTCGCGTGTCAAAAGGCTTCGTCACTCTTCTGGCCAGCTCAAATTGGGAACACTGTCAAGCACGCACGTGCTTCAGTTGCATCAGTAACCAAGCGTGTGAAGGGCTTCTAGCTTCCATTCTGCAAGACACATGTAGTGAAGTCGGTCATGGTGACTATAGTGCCTGCCCAAGCACACGTGTAGCAGAACGCTTCTGAAGTTTGGTTGCCTTGAAAGAAAGAACAGTTCTGCAGCCCCATCTCCGAGAACATGCCTGTGATGAATCAGCAAGATCAGCAAGGCTTCTGGGGTGGCGAGAGAATATGTTTATGGCGATGTATACCTGCCGTTCGTGCTTTTGAAACCTGAGGCTGCAATGAGAGGAACCTCTTTGCCTCTCGGGCATTGAAGGCCTGTAAAGCCCAGATCCGAACTGGCCGTGGACAGTAGCAAGTCACTCTCCTGCTAAACTTTGATGAGAGAGACTATGAGAAAGCTTGCTCAGCCACGTTCAGTCTGAGAACACCACAAAAAGAGTTCACGGTGCTTTGGGATCCAACCGAAAACCGAAACGCATGTCGGCCTTCCCAAAACACCCGACCTCACGGAACATGAAACTTTCACTCTGCTCTTGCAAGCCCTCGACCTTCAGGAATATGGATCCTTAGGCGTCTTGACAGTCCATGTGAGTGCTGCAGGTTTGCAAAGCTTGAAGTAGTCCAAGTCTCAGTCACGCGCCTAGAACCCGGTAAGAAGAAAGGCTGCAGAGCTTGCTGTCACAGAGGAACTCGCCATTCGGTAAAACCACCTGCCAGAAACATGCAGCGGCCATGGCAATCCATGCCAGGATGGAGGACGTGTGTCAAAAATGCCTGGAGCTTCCGCTTCGGGGCATGAAGCTGTTGAGTCAAACGCGTCCAAAACTCCTTCAGATGCACAGATTCAAGCACGTGACAGTACGAACACTTGTACCGGTCAGCCACTGGTCAGCCACACAGAGCCTCCAAGCAGAATTCGGACAGCGCAAAGCCTTGCAGGCGGTTGGAAGCCCACTGCAACCCTTTTGAATTTACTCGCTATTTGACCGCCGTTCAGCAAGTCCGCCAAAGGGTGCACTTGAAGCCAGGCCACTCAGCACAGCACGGCCGGCCAGGCTGAAGCACTGCCAATGTTTACAGTCTGAGTCGCTAGGTACCTCAGCGCATCGCACACAATACACGAAGCAGTGCGTTTACACAGTGCAACGTTGGGGGCCTGAGAAGTTCCGAACCAAAGACGGAATCCAGGGGAATTTGTGGGCACCGCAACACTTCCAAGTCTGTTCAAGCCAGCCACAAGCTGGACCACGATGGGTACGTGATCGCCAGGCCAGCTCGGAACATAGACCTCACCTGCCTCAGGGGTCAAGTTCGGTCATTACTGCGCATTATTGTGCTAGCCAAGGCAAGCCAAGCTTATCCGACGAAATGAGCCGGAAACTTGCGTTGCCTCGAGCTCAGGAACTTGACACTGTCCCCAGTGGTCGTCGCCAAAAGCAAGGACCCTGCCATCGCTACGCAGAAGCACGGTGTGGAGGTCGCCGGCAGAGATGTCTTCCTTTCCACAAAGCTTCTCAGGATGCGTACAGTACCATCTACGGTACAGCTTGAAGAACCTCTTGCAATCCCTTCCGGACCAAGATACATACTTCAGACCTGCTGGCAAATCAGGAACGTTGCACTGTCCGCACCTGGCAGCGCATGCTCCACTCAGTTTCCAAAGCACGGGAAACCGCAGGATGAGCAAATGTTTCATCAAGTTTCGACTGAGCACCGGTTGTTCCCGACGGTCAACACATGTCCATCACTGCACAGCAGCGCTGTGTGAAGTCCTCCAGCCGAAACCTGCCGAGCGTCACTGAGCCACTGCCGCTCCAGACGCGTAGCATATTTTTTCGCGGTATGCCCAGTGCAAAGGACAACGATCCGAAGATTAAGAGTGTTGACAAGATCTTGGTGAAAAGCATAGAACTGCGTGGCCACGGCCTTGGTGTACTCCAGATCCTCCAGAGAAGGAATGCTGCACCTCGGTGCATCGTCACCGCTCAAGCTGTGGTTCTGCTGTAGCCACTCAACTGCCCACAGTCTTGCTACACTTCAATCGGCTTGCACGCGCAAGCCTCAACATGTCTGGCCAAGATTGACAAAACGGGTCTACTGTCTACACATAGTGTCCAAAGCCTACGTCCACCATTGTATGTGCAGGATCAAAGTCCGGAACAAGACGTGGTTACCCGAGGCTTGCACTGGCCGTAACGGTTGTCCCCTGCGGCAACTACCGTGCCATCGCTGCGTAGCCACACCACATGGAAGTCACCAGCCGATACCTGAATGTACCTTTCCAGGCGCCACTGCACAACCCGCTCCAAGTCCAAGTTCAAAGTTCAGAAACAACTGCCGGGAAATCCCATCCGCCTCTGGTTGTCATGCAAGTCTGGGACGCTAAGCTCGTGAGCTTCGTTGTCTGCTCTCCTCGGGTGTCTGCATCTCTCCGCAAGTAAGTACCAGCCAACACATACGCAGCAACAATCTTCCGACACCATCGTGCAAGCCAGGGGCACAAGCGTCTGGCCATCACTGGTAAGCAAGACCGTGTGAAACAAGCCTCGTGAGGCAATATGGAGGCACGACCCACGTGCACGGTTTCTCAATGGAATTAGCCCCATCCTAGCGTTTTACCACCTGAGGCTATGACGGATTTGAGTGTGTTGGCTTGTTTTTGTGTGTTGAGAGCGTCGTTCATGGCTTAGTTCAACAAGGCGTGACCGTGCGGACATTCAATCCATCCCTGTGCATGCAATTCACCCAACGTAACACTCGGCTCACTGGAGGGTGGGGGTAGGAGCCCGCAGCAAGATTCTGTCCATGAGCCTTAGTGAACCTGTATCTCAATCGCTGGCGCGGCTTTCCTTTAGGGCTTGACGGGCCACTGAGTTTCAGGCTCTGCTTCAGAACTACGGTCTGATCCAATGCAACACTGTTCCCACAAGGGTCAACCGTCTCGGCGCCATTCAGAATGCCACTTGGCCGATATGATGTGCAGTCAGTGTGCATTGACTGACCGAATTACACAAGATCGACCCTTGCATGAACATGACCCTCCCACAGCGCGCCTGTGTCTACCTGGACAAACTTTCTATCTCCTTCTAGCTCGGGGAAGTCCTTAGGCGGTCGGAGGCTTGCACGTTTTGCGAGTTTTGCAGGGCAAAAGCTTCAGAATCCTAGTGCACGAGCTGGCAAATTTGCAATGCTTTGCAGCTTGGTGGCTCTGAGTGGAGGCAAAGTATCTCCTATTGCCAGGGCCTTGCCATCACTGCGCAGGAGCAGAGTGCGATTCCCGGCGGCGGAGACCTGCACATACCTCGATAAGGAAAGAAGATCCGTGGGCGAACTCAAGTCATGCAAGCCGATGTGGCAGAGGAACAGCGCCTCAGCTTGTCTTCGCATTGCCTTACCTACCCTTGCCAGGAGGCTCGAAACCATCCTCCAAATGCGGAACGTCGCATTGGCCAGCCTAAGGCCAACACCATGTGAAGCCAACGCACGAGGCACAAGAAAGGCACAAGATCTCCAAAACGGAGCTTCCATTTTCACGCAGCCAAGGGACCCTGTTGTCGCCACAAGTCACAACATGACCATCACTCCGCAATAAAACACTGTGTGCCGTACCTGTTGCGACCTTCCAACGTCTGCACAGGAACGCACTTGACATGCCTTGACTGCACGCATCCCGCCTGTACATACTCCAGGTGGCTGGGGATTTCTGGGATATTGCACTGTCCGTGCTTGTTTGCCTGGGGCGCGATGGCACGAAGAAATGACTACCACCAGGCATGCAGGCCAGGGTGGAGACGTACAAACAGGCCTCCATCGGCGAAACCGTGCCACAAAGTCAAGTTTTAGTATGTATTGATGGATTCAGAACCCTCAGTTTCTGTCCTACTTTTCTTTCTGCTGCTGAGGCTTACGTTCCATCCCGAGGAAGCTAGCTGAACTTCGGGCGAAAAGTTCCGGACCAAGCAACAATCAAACAAACATGGGGCCGTACGGCTTGAGTTTGATTCTTGGTTCGAGACGTGTTCCAATTCTGGCCTTGCAACTTCACTCAAGCACTGGAGCATGCGCTCCAGTACCAACAATTGTCAAAAGGCGTTTCATGTGATTGAAATGCGCTTGCTGGGCTGCGGGTACAGCTGCAATTCGTGGCAGGAGTGCAAGCCTGATGGCCAGCATGTCCGGCCAGGTTCGAAGGTGCTCTCAAAGGGGTTTAGGCCAGCAAGTGCAAGAACTACAGTCCCTTTCCTGTACTCCTGCTCAGCACGGGGAAGTCTCGCCCCTTTTTTCCGAGCCAACAGCAAGTGTTCATGCAACAACGCAGGACGCAGTTTTGCCACTTTCCGCAAAAACAACGCCTGAACGTGGGTAGCTTTAAACAAATGAACGTGGGTAGCTTTAAACAAATGCGAGTTATCTGGGCTTTGGGACTCGGACTTTTTCCTGAAAGATATGGACTACGCGAGCAAAAGATGATGGCTGAGTTGCGAAAGAACTACAGTGACTACAAAGCGTTCATTCCAGTCGCGAGGGTCCTTCCTTTTGGTGCTTCCCACAAGGTCCTGATTTGAGATTGCCCAGCTCAACATCCTCAACTTCCAGACCGAAGGTTCCTTTATGGTTCCGGGTGCTTGCCGCCCACTCTGTCTTCGAGCATGTTGAGAGTCGCTGCTTGCTGCCAACTAGAGAAGTTGGATGTTGCTCTTCTCCTGCCCAAAAAGCAGCCGAACCCTCGCTGTGAGGTTGGAGCGACAGTTGGAAACAGGAACTACTCCTCAAAGTTGCGAGATGAGAAAGCGCCACAACAGTTCTGAAGCTTACGAAGTGGGTTGCGAAATCTTACAAGATTTTGCACAAGAATGTCGGGCAATGCATTTCGAATGTCCGATTGGTTACACAAGTGCGCAGGAGCCTCCATAATTGCTTTGTTTTGGACTTGGCAGGTTCAAGGAGCGGGGGGGGCTTGCGAGATGTACGTCGTGCATGACCATGAAGGTGTGCCCGCTGAGGCAGGGTGCGCGGGCGCACACCATGGAAGCAGGTGGAGCATGCTGCAGGACTCACATCGAGCTACAAGAGCAGGAAATAAACAGCCATGATGAACTATGCTAAACAAAAGCGACACGTCCATCCAACAAAGGGCAATGTACGACCAGTTCACATGCATGTTTCAAAACAGAACTGCAAAGCAAACCCTGAAGAAGCTCAAGTGCTGTCCATCCAGCTGCAGCCGAGGGTCCCCGAGACCAAGCGCTCGACCGCTACTCTGGAGTAGAACGGTATGCCGACGGCCCATTGCGCTGTCTCGAATGGGCCGTGCTACCCAACGTTGAACTGGTATGCCACGGAGATTGCTTCGCTCTAATAACTCGACTTCCGGGATCTTCCGTGCTTCTCTTGATGACTTGCTTCGTTGCGATCTGCCGGTTTCTGGTTGGACGCTCAGACACGACACTTGATCAGAACTAGCTGCACAACAAGAAGCTCAGGCTTCAGGATTCTGGGGTTTTGGATTTGGTTGCCCAACAGATTGTGCACATAGTCATCACACACAAGACACGCACGGTGCCTGATTGTGCGTGTATCAGAAGCTATTCGTAAGAAATATTGGACCCATCTAAGCTGAGAGGTGGACGGGTGCACCAACGCCATGCGATACCTAAGGCTGACAAGTTATGCTGTGAATCTGAAGAGGAAACACAGACCTTCTACTCTTCACAAATCTTAAAGCGCTTGGGCTTTCACGAGTTGCGCTCCCCTGTGTTTGGAGCCTCCTTGGCTAGTCATGTGAACTGCGCATAACTGAGTTGAGGAAGCTGAGCTGCCAACCAGAAGGACACCAGGATCATGAAAGCGTGGCTCTTCTTGCTGCATCCTCCTTCTCTTTCTCTTTGGCACCACCTGTGTCACAACTTTTCTGTGTCTGCTTTACCTGCGTGAGGCTGAGTCTGCAGCCTCCACTGCAAGGCTCGGAGGCCTAACATGGCAGAAAGCTCCAGCAACATCCAGCAACTGTTCAACTGTTTGAGCCTGCGCGGATCCAACAGATCCGAAATGCGAGCAAGCGGCGCATCAGGGGCAAGCAGTGTCGGCATGCTGGGACGTCTGGCACAGTCTCTAGACCTCTATGCTGCACGCCCCTTTGAGCCTTCCAGCAACAAAGGCGTATCATGGCGTATCATGGCGTATCATGACATATCGAGTCTCACAATGCGGGAGAGGTTGCAAAATGGGAGAGAGCGCACCGGGTCCACCACACTGCTTCCTTCAAGGCCGCGAAGGTGTTTTGGAGCGCTTCGCGCTTCCTTTGCCAGAAGCTCAACTCACCGATTAAGACAAACAAATGAGTGAGAGAGAGAGAGAGAGAGAGAAAAAAAAACAAGTGAAAGAAAAAGAATGAGAGATGCAGGAAGAGATATTTTAGCTTTGATAGCCTCAAATACAATCTCCTTTTGATAGCCTCATTCATAGCTCCAGCAAAACTGACATCGCCTGTTGATGACGTCCATGACGGAGGCATCCGCTTCATCCTTGAAGCAGTGTGCCTGGGCTCTCAAGTCACTTGAGATCAGTCGATGCAGGACCTCAATCGGGCAGGCCCATTCGACAATTGGCCTCCATCAGCTCGAAAAGAGCCTCGACTTGAAACTCCAAAGACCGCAGCATCGATGCCAAAGGCTCGAAGCCTTCGTTCCTCTCCATCTTTGCTCATGGACGTGCAAGCAGAAGCTGGTGCTCTGCACATGGAAACAGCTCGTGACACAAACTGTACTGTGAGCTCACAGCAGGCTCATTTCTTGAAAAACATTTTTGCCAAGCTCTAAGATCTGGACCAGCAGCGAGAGTCCATGCTTTTCGCATCACCATGGACATGGTCGTCGGTCAGCAGAATGCCGTCGGATACCTCCGACACTTCCTGGGCTTGCATCCCATTTTCATCCCTCAAGTCTCTGGAAGGACGAATTCGTGAACGGAGTTTAAGGCAGAACTAACACTGCAGGTGCAATCACTTTTGACGGCTTGAGCCAATGTCGCATGTGTATGCTCACTCATTGTGAAACATGTTGTGTGACACCTACAAATCTAAACACCCCTCCTAAGCCAGGTGGTCATTTGACCCATTGGCTTCACACGAGCCGTTTGGCTGCTCCGGCTCGTCCAACATGAAAACGCAATCCCATGTTCTTGAGGTGTTTGAGCATTGCCACTTCGGGCATTGGTTTGGTGCAGATGTCGGAGTAGTTCTTCTCCGTGCCTACACGCTCTAGCTCCAGAGCTCGCGTGGCGACTTTCTCTTGCACCCACAAGTATCTTGTTTGCACGTGGCGTGCTTGACCCAGGCCCTGGCGCTGGGTAGTGCCTCGGGCCGCCGAGGAATCAGATCGAATCCGCAGACCGACCTTTAATCCCCAGTCTTCTAGCATCGCCTGTAGCGACAGACCTATTGACCCTGCTCGAACTATAGCGTAAAACTCACTCTCTCCACTCGAAAGGGAGATCGTGCTTTGCACGTTGCTTGAGTGTTTCACGCAGTGCGATCCAAGCATTGTCACCAGTCCCGTGGTTGACCTCCGCGTGATGAGGCAACCAGCGTGGTCTGAGTCGCAGTACATCACAATCTCTTTGCTGAACCGTTGCGGGTGGTACTCGTAGATCAGCCGTGGATTTCCGCGTAAGTAGCGGACAAGCCTCTTCAGATCGGCCCATGCCCACTCTGTGGGTTCTTTCATATGCCGTGCTAAGCTCTTCGTAGCCTCCGCAATGTCTGGACGGTCCTGCGCAAGGAACGCTGCCCTCATCGTATGAGACCGATATGCTTTCTGAAGTTCGGCATTCAACGGCTGTGCTTCAAGCATCGCTTTCAGGTCACTTCCCTTTTTCTTTTCTGCTGGCGTTTTGGCCGCCTTCGCAGACTCCAGGCCAAGGTCGCGTACTAGGGCTTCCGCGTGCCTTGGATCCGCTTCGTACGTAACAGTTCCTGTCTGGCTGTCATAGCTCACGACCCGGTTCAGGACAGTCATGCTATCCTTTTCACACTCAGGTCCTATGTGGCCATCACACTTGAACTCGTACTCTTCAGACAGTACTTTGTCTACAAAGCGATGTCCATCTTCGTCTGCCAAGACTAGGAAATCATCCCCATGCACCAATAATCTCACGTCGGCTTCGGCATGATAAAAGGTACACGGATATGCTTTTCCCACGACAAACCCGTGCTTGCGTAACAGGCTTGTGTACGATCTCTGCCATACAGCTGAGGCATCACGGGTGCCATACATGGTCCGTTTCAACAGACCACAAAAGCCGGGAGCTTCATCTCCCTCGGGAAGTGTGACAAACACACGTCGTTCTGCTTTTCCATAGAAGTGTGCACGTGATATGTCTGTCAGCTTCAGCGTGAGCTTCTTTCCGCTCTTTGACCTCTTGAGTGTCGTCAGCAGACTGCATAGGATCTTCAATCCTTCCAGAGGTGGCATTGAGGAAAACAGCGCGTAGTCTGGTATCAACGCCGCTTGTCCCTGTGACTTGACCTCGCGGACTACCAAACGACTGCGGTAGTTTTCCCGAACATCATCCCCTTTGTTGCGGTCTACCCACTTCAAGGTTATGGGCGGACGACCTGTTTCGTCCCAACACACGCTCTCTTCGACTTTCTCGTACACACCTTGCTTTTTCACCCAGGCAAGTTCTGACGCTCTTGCTTCCGCAACCTTTTTGGCATCAAGTTGTGCCCCTGTGTTTGCGTCTATGACGGGCTCGCTTACGTGAAGCTGCCCAGCCTTGGGTAAGGTGTCATGGAGATACTCTTCGAGCGGTGGCTCCTCGTGTGGGTCAGGTCCACCCACATGGCCCACCTCCTTCATTTCTCCATCCAGAACCAGTTGTGCCCGCACTCCTGCCAGTAGTGCTCTTTCAAGCTTCGGAGGATACTCGGCCTTGGCCGTCACGATCCCCTCCTTGAAGCTTAGCGTTCGGTTCCACACCTTCGCATTGCCCTTGCATAGCTTTTCCAGCGCTGTTGCAACCGTCGCCGAATTAGTAATCCAGCGGGTTCGCTTCTTGCCGGATTGGCCTGCAATCATTTTTCCACTTTCGTCAACTTTCCACTTGCACATTGGGCCTTCAACCAAGTACGAACCCATCCTTTGAGCAAGTTCATGCTCCCAGGACTTAGTTCCCCTTGGGCACTCATAGAGGAAGTAGTTTCCGGCTTCCTTCTGTGCCTCGAAGGTCTCAAAGCAAAGCCCCAGTTGAGATCGGGCCTTCCTCAAATTTCCGCGTCTGGTCTCGACTCCAATCTTGTTGGTCATGTCGAAAGCACGTTGTACTGACTGGAAGGGTCCAGTGGGCAGCTTGCCCACCAGAAGCTTTGGCTTCACTTGTTCCAGCTTTTCGAAGAAACGCAAATGCTCGGCCTGAGCGAACATCGACGGCTCTTGGTCCATTGGCAAGATAATGCCTTCATTCACCATGCTCCAGGGCACAGCTGAATTGCCATTACCTCCCAACTGTAGAACCATAGAGTTTATGGCCTTCGCTTCGGTCGGGCTGCACTTGAGCCCCTTTTGTTCGAACATCCGCGTAATCAGGTTCATTCGCACTTCCTCGTTGGCTGGCGGCGGATTCGCCGTTGCTGTGTCGTACATTTCTGCATCTGCTCGTGCTTGTTGGCGTGAGTGGTCCAGGCCGGGTCCTGCAGAGCCACTTGCTCCCCCTTGCACGTGTACTCCAATGACCTCGACATCTGGACCATCGGTAGCCCTCGTGCTGGGCTCTTCCCGGTAAAGGTCCTCGACGTCCTTGGACGCTGCGCGCTTCCGCTGTTTCGGCTCGGCGCGGTCCTCGACCTCCATTGGTCTGGACAAAGGTGCGCCTGCCGCTTCCTCTGCTGCAACATCCATTGCGTCGGGGGCAGGTCTTCCTTCCAGCGCGGGTTGGTCTCTTTTGACCCGCTTTCCGTAGTCCTTTTCAACTCGCTCTTGGGCCCTTTTCACTCTTTCTTTTCCCTCGTCGGTTTCTTGCAGTCTTCTCTGCACTCTCATCCTGCACTCGTCATTGTGCGCTCGCTGCGGGAGACCCATCAGCTGCGCATCGCATCCCGGACACTGAGGCGTGTAGCCGTACAGCTCAATGTCGGACTTCATGACGTACAGGTTGCGTGCCTTGAAGTCTCGGTGTTGTGGCGCGGGTTGTTCGCCTTCGAGAGCGGGCATACCGACTCGGTTGGGCGACGCTCGCTCTTGTGGACCGGACATCCTCCAAGGCAATCCGCGTAGCACTTCGAAACCTTCAACAGGCCATTTCTCATCCTCGGGCCTCCTGTGCAAGGAGTGGCCCCGGGATATACCCTCGGACGTCATGATCAGCAAGTCTGCGTTCCTCGACGCAGTTCCGACGTAACGTCCCATGCAAACTCTTGCATCTAGGCTTCCTCGCTTGTGTTTCGAACCAACTGGCTTGAACATCACCTGTTCGCCAAAGACAATGGTAGGTCGCCTCCACGGTCGGCCCAGCGTCCTTTCGTAAGCTGACTTCCCGTCTTCGCCAATGCGAAAACGTGTCATCAAGAACGCTGCATGCCTCGCGATCCAGGCGAGAATCGGGTGGTCCACGCCCACCTCGATCTTAAGCTTTGTCTCCAGCTCCGACAGGATAGCTCGGACCATTCGCTTCACCTCTCTCACTGCGGCCTCGGCTATGCCGTTCGATGGCGCGTTCTCGTGTTCCGTACTTGTAGGACTCTCTCTCAAGTCGAACACTACATTTTGGACTTCTTCGGAGGCCTTGAGTTTGAGCGCACGGAGGGCGTGTTCATTATCTGAGAATAAGCACATCCTCTTCCATCCGGCCTCGCGTATCACGCTGGCCAACCACGTGACGTTGTACGCATGCGTGCCTTTCTCGGGCAACGAAGTTGCCCAAGTGCGCTGCGTTTTGTCGCACCGAACCACCAGGTGCGGCATCACGTCGTCTTCCTGCTTTTCTTTGCCCAGGAAGAAGTAGTCCATGTGTAGCGTCGGCAAAGATGTCTCAAGTTCGGCTCTCCGAATCCGGTAATGTGGATTCACCATCTTTCGCGCTCTCTGGCAGTGGACGCACCAGGAACGGTGCACCGCGTGCCCCGAGGCTTCGTGCTGTGCGATCTGGTCAGCCGTTGGCTGGTCTGGGCTCTTCGGCACTATCGCCCTCTGTTGTTCTTCGCCTGGAGCCTCCGGCTCCTCGGCAAAGCGGTCGTCTTCAGTGCCTCCTTTTTCCTCGCTTGGCTGCTGCTGCTGTTGTTGCTGTTGTGCTGCTGGCGCTGCTGCTGGCACTTGTATGCTTGCGCTTGCTCCTTGTTGTGTCGTTTTCCTCTCTTTCTTCTCTCGCTCTCTCTCTTTCTTCTTGTCTTCCTTGGCTAACACCTTGAGCGTTGCCTTTCCGGCGGCTTTCCTTTTTGCCGCTTCCTCAACCATCTCAGCCTCTTCGTCTAGGGGTGAAACGCTAAGCCCGTTGGGCCTTACACCGTCTACGGACGCCCCGTGAAACCCAGGCCGTCTTGGCCCTTGCTTCCGCCCTTCACTCCTTTCTTCTCGTCTTGCAGAGGAAACACGTAGATGCCGTTCTTCACTTGCATCTTGGTTCCGACACCCTTGTGCTTCCAAGCCAACTGGCGCAACGCCTCGTCGGCCTCCTTAGCGAAAGCAGTTCCTTTTGGGACCAGCAAGCCTCCTGTTCCGTGCAGAAACGCAAAATGCGTCTTGCACGCCTGTGCTCCTGACAGGAGTATGCGGTGGACCCCGGCGCCTCGGCCGGTGATCGTGGCCCCACGGCCTCCCGACAAAGTGCCGGTGACCTCGGCTTTTCCTTGGTCTTTCAGCGCCTCACCTGACGCCGTCTTGTAGCGGACGCCGTTGTCCTTTGGCTGCGTCACGTACTTCTCAGGCAGAACGGTCACGGCCGCTCCCGTGTCAAAGTTGACCTCGACGCTAGCCACGCCTGGCGAAGCGCCCAGGCTGGCAGCATCCACGGTCTCGAAGCTGTGCACCGATTGGCGCACGCCTCCTTCGCCCGGGTCCTCCGGGTCTTCTCCTCTTGGGTCGCGGCGGTCGTCGTAGTCTTCACAGTGCACAGTCTCTTCGTCGTCGTCTTCGCTTTTCTTGACCTTCTTCCTTCCTTTGTGCTCTGGATCCCAGGTCGACCCAAGCTTCCTCTTCAGCTTGTTGCGCCTTTGGTTTCTCTTTTGGTTCCTCTTCTTCTTCTGCTCGGCCGCAATCGACGGGTCCGCCGAGTAGCGCCCGGTCGCCTTCGGCCTTTCCTGCTTTTCGAGCTCCTTCCGGTAGAGCTCCTCCTCGTCGTCGACATCCACGCGGTGGCTCGTCCTTTCGGCTTTCGTGAGGGGGCGGTAGTCCTTTCGCCGCTCGGGCTTGGCCTCCGTCCCATCGCTGTGGATAACCTCCGTGTCGATGCCGTCGACCTCTTCCTTCTGGTTATCGCGGAAGTCGCCCTTTTTCACTTTCACGTCGTGCCGGGCGTGCCACTTCTTGTCGGCCTCGATCCTCTCCTTTGCTCTTTCGCCCACACCGCTGCGTCTGTGCTCTTGCGCTCTCCTTCGTCCCTTTTCCGCACGCCAAGCCTTCCAGTGACTGTCTCCCTTTTCCACTTGGCGTTTGTAGCGCACGTCGTGCACCGACTGGTCTCTGCGGTGTTCGGGTTCCTTTTTCTTCACGCCCGCTTGCTGCGCCCTGAGGCGCTCACGCTCCTCTTTCAGGCGCTTCCGCTCGTCTTCCAGGCTCGCGATCTCGGCTTCCAGCTCTGGGTCACTGCCGCGTCCCTCGAGCTTCTCTCTCTTTGTCGCGATCCTCTGGTCCAAGACCGCGAGGTTCGCACGGTTGGTCTCCATAAGACCCGACGCTAGCATCCTTTGCATGCTGCTCGAGGTGCTTGCCGTGATCGCGGTTGCTCCTTCGGTTCCTTCTTCCTGCTTTGGTGGCTTCTTCTTTTTTTCCTTCTTGGGTTCCTCGGGCCCCTCGCTTGGAGGGTCATCCTCGAAGTCGCTTTCGTCCTCGGAGCTCTCCGGCTCCAAGGAAAACTTGTCTTCTTCTTCTTCTTCTTCTTCACCAGCGGCTTCTTCCTCCCTTTGCTTCACCTTCTCGGCTACCTTTGCGCTCCTCAGCTCAGCCTTGCTGGGCCTGTCGGCCCTCACAAGCTTTTCTCTTTCGAAAACTTTCCTTTCGTAGTGGGAGCCCGCTGCTTTTGCAGCTGCTGCCTTGTACTCTTTCATCCTCTTCTTCAGCAGAAGGGACGCTTTGCTCCTGAACTTCAGTCGCCTCGACCCGCAGGTGGAGCAGGCCTCGCCTTGCTTCTTCAGTAAGGACTCCCCGACGGTGCCTCTGGGCTTCTTGTCTCGTATGGCATCTTGGTGGGCCACACGTTCCCTGAAGCGCATTCCTGCCCAAGACGCCGGACTCCTTAGAAGCTTTGGCTTTGCCTTCGCCACAGGTCTTTGGCTCCTTGAGGCTCCCCACTTCGGCGCTGTGGTAGCAAGTTGTCTCTCCACCTCTTCGCTTCTTGGCTGCACTTCTTCACTTCCAGGTGGAGGCTTCGAAGGTGGTGACTTTGGTTCTGTTCTCTTCGGCTCTACCTTTGGCTTCGAAGGTGGTGACTTTGGCTCTGTTCTCTTTGGCTCTACCTTCGGCTTGAGAAGCGGACTTTTGGTCCTGGAAGGCGGTGGTGACTTCGGCGGTGTTCTCGGCCTTTCTTGCTTCGCCTTTGGAGGGGTCTTGGGCTCAGGCACTGGTGGCTCCCGGTAGCGCGAAACGCGCTTCCAGGGTGCCGTGTCCAAAGCCTTAGACCTCACCTCCTTCTTCTCCTCTTTCTTTCCGGCCTTTGGCTCGCGCACTCTCTCCGGAGGTCCTCGCGACGAAGACGAAAACGCTCCGAAGCTGGACTGCCCTGGCACCTCGCCGCGGGAACGTCTCCTGGCTTCTGCCAGCTCTTCCGCTTCCTGAAGAAGTCTTTCCTGGCGACGTCTCCTCGCAAGTTCCACCTTTTCCTTCAGGTCTTGGAACTGACCCCTTGCTCTGTCCATTTGCTCTTCCAGAGCTTCCAGCTCCTTTTCATCCTCGTCTTTTTCCTCCTTTGGAGGAACCTTCCTTTTCGGGTCCTTTGGCGCCATGGCCCCAAGCACGGTCGGGCCGGAGCCCTCTTCCCTACTTGAGCCACGACTGCCGGGGTCTGGCTTCGACTCTTTCTTCTTCTTCTCTTTCTCTCTCTTCGGGCTCTCTCTTTCTAACGCTCCCACGTAGAGGTTGTTTGTTTCTGCTTCCTCCCAACCGTCCTCCCAGGTTTCTCCCCAGTCTCCGTCTTCCCAGCATTCATCCTCTTCTCCTTCCTGCCAGTTCTCGTCCTGGTTTCCTTCTCCTGCGTTCTCTCCTCCTTCTTCTATGTTTCCTACGTGTTTCTTGTTCTTACCACCTTTCTTGCCTTTTCCCTTTTTGCCTTTTCCTTTCTTACCTTTTCCTTTGTCCTTTCCTCCTTTGGGGCTCCCTCTTCCTCCTTTGCTGCTTGGTTTTCCTCCTTGTTGCCCTGGACCTTTGGGTGAGCCCCGTTGCTGCTGCGAACCTTTGCCTCCATTGCTCCAGCAGTCGCGGGCATAGTGTCCGCTCCTGCCGCAGTTGTGGCACACGACCTTGCTTGCTCCTTTTCCTTTGCCTCTCTCCACATACGACAGGTCCATAGGATCATCCTTGCTCGCCGCACTGGCTGCGGCTGCAGAAATCACCTTCAGACTCTTTCCTGTCTTGTACTCGATGAAGCGAGTCACCTCGTCGAGCACGTCGTCGTACGTGGAGAACCGGCTCTGGTTCAACTGGATGTGAGACTCCAGCTCCTGTGGCAACATTGCCTCCAGTGCTGCCATCTTTATCTCATCAGCCAGGGTCGTTCGTCGCCCTGTGCTGTCCTTGCGCTTCTCGTAAGTGCGCACAGCGTCGGCCCATTCTTCGATGGCCTGAGGGAGATTCTCCAGCTTCTGCTTCTGGGGCGATATAATCGCTCTCAACATCGTGCGCTTCCTGCTTGCAGTCGCAGGATCGTATCGCCTCGTAAGGCGTCTCCATGCCTCGAACCCGTTGTTCTGGCAATTGCACACGATCGTAAATGGTTCCTTCGAGGTAACCATTTGGAGCGCGTTCGCGAGCTCCCTCGACTTTTCTTGCAGTCTGGGAACTCGATCCGCCTCCAACGCCTTTTCTCCAAAGGCTGTGTCCAACTCCTCCGAGGAGAATGGCTTCTCCCTCTCTTCGAGCCACTCTAGAACTTCTTGCAGATCATGGTGGATCGAACAAACGTAGCTCGACATTCGATGCCTCCATGGTAGGAACTGTTCACTCTCACCTGAGAAGGTCGTCGGCTTTCCCAGGCCCTTTGTGTCGACCAAACAGAGCTTCTCGTTTGGTCCTCCTTTCTTTGCCATGGCCTCAACCAGTTCCTTGTTCGACTTGACCATGTCGCTCACCAACTGTGGCATCGTGCCCATCTGAGCCGTCGCCTGCTGCACTGCCGTATGCGCTTGTGCTCGCACTTCCGCAACTTGAGCTGCACTCTCTTGCCGTACTCGCTCAAGTGCTGTGCTTTGCTCGGCCCTTAGCCGATCATTCTCTTCGCGTTGCCTTGTGAGTTCGTTTCTCAGATTCACAAGCTCCTGCATCACTTGCGCTGCAGTCACTTGTGCCTGTTGCTGTTCCTGGCTGCTCATCGCAAACGATTAGCCAGCCGACGGCGGAACTCGCTGCTTTGGACGAAAGTCTGGAGATGCTGGCCCAGGAGGCCCCAAATCCTTTGCAGTCGCCTAATCCGATAGAGTAAACGGATCAAGCGTTCCCAGCGGTGCACAGCGGGAGCTTGCACCACAGCAAAACCTTCGTTGTCACTTTCAGCACTTTCGTCAGCAAGGTCGCGTCTGCTGTCCATTCAAACCGACAGCTCCGCTACCATGAACGGAGTTTAAGGCAGAACTAACACTGCAGGTGCAATCACTTTTGACGGCTTGAGCCAATGTCGCATGTGTATGCTCACTCATTGTGAAACATGTTGTGTGACACCTACAAATCTAAACAATTCGACATGTGAACTCATATGCACATGCAAGAAAAAAGACAAAAGAACACACTGCAGCAAAGAGTCAAAGGGCACAGAATGGTCCACAGCATCGAAAGGAGCATCGTTCGCTTGGAAGCGTGCTCTGTTGAGACCCTTTCGCACGGCAAGTCGGCTGGCCTTGGCCTTGTGGACCTTTGGGGCAGGCGTCCCAGGTGGCACAGGTGTCGCAGGTGTCGCAGGTGTCACAGGCGTTTCCCCCCGTGCTTGGAGACCGCTGGAGCTAGAGGGGACTCGCAGGTATGCATCCGTAATGCCATCGAGACCATTCTCCAGCTGCTCCACAAGATCGTGCAATGAGCCCCTTGCGCCACGTCGGCCAGAACTTGTGCCAGCACTCCCACGGTTCGCAGGGGCCCGCCGCAAGGTGGAGGGAAAGTCTGCGGGCACCATGGGTTCTGAGCTGGACTTCAGCAGGGGTGCCTGCGGTGCCGGCGGCACATTCGGTGCGTGCGTTGCCCCCGTAGCCTTCTTTTCAAAAGCCACGCCGGGCCTGCGCCGCTCCTCCCGCTTGGGCTCTGTCCATGGAAGCGGCCAGCGGCCTTGGCCTAAGCCGTGACCTAAGCCTTGGCCTGAGCCTTGACCTAAGCCTTGGCCTTGGCCTAAGCCTTGGCCCAGGCCTGGACCCAGACCTTGGCCAGGCCCCAGCTTCAAACCTAGATTCGGCACCCGCGACTCTTTGCTGGGACTCACGTGCCCAGAAGGATCGCTGGGAAGGGCGATGCCACGAGTCAGCGGCTCTTCGGGAGGCCTGAGAATGGCGAGGCATGACCAGACAATGCTAGACATATTCCCAAACGCGACAGTCGAACATTCATGGCTCCTCCGCGTGCTGGCAAAAGGTTGCTGAAGCAAGGTTGCCTTAGAAACACACGAACTGCTGTTCAAGAAACTGCCGTATGTTGTTGCTTTGGATGCTGACATGTGCCCACATTCAACACGGAAACTTTCTTCACACCGGTCACCGAGCTATCGTGGTCTTTACACAGACGGCTGGGGCAACGTGTTGGCAGCATTGCTCCACTCCGAACAAATCATTTCTAGGACTCACAGTGTCCACCAAGGTTGCCCCGCAAGCTGAACAATGGCAGCATTGCTGTCTAAGGTTTGCTCCAAATGTGGAAGCCTTTCAATGCAACGACTGCGACTAGTTGTGAATCATGAACGTTACTTGCAGTGGCATGGCGATATCACAACCACCAAGATTCACACACCAAGGCGACAAGGAAAGGCTGAGCGCCGTGCCAACTTTTTCGACGGAGATACCACCTCATTGTCTTAAAACCGAGAAGAACACCTAAGCAACAGAGAGGCTTGCCCCGGCAAGTATGCAATGAAGCATCGGGTATATACATGGAGACAGAAAATGTGGTGTCGTTGCCTTAGGCGACGTCGAACCTTTACAGTACGGATCTGTCCCAACCTTCTGAAATCTGCATGGAACAACAAACCGGCAACGTATCAGAAGCTGCACTGGGTGCGACACGGCTTTGTCGGTGCCCAACCGCGGCACTGACAAACTCAAGTCGGGAGCCATCTGCGGACCGAATGCCTCCCACGACATGCGGGACTTCCGCACCTTACAAGAAAAGAACTTGCAACAGCGACTGAGTTTGGCACCATCTGGTCGGATGGCTTGCTGGCTGCGGTGTAAACTCATGTCTCACGCATAAAACTGAAAGAAACTCAAGCTGACTAAGTGCGAAACAATGCGAATCGGCACGGGTGTGCAAACTCTTTTTGAAGAGAACCATGTTGCATGTCTAAGTCCTAGATGAACCAAGCTGTTGAACTTGAGCCAACGAATCGCGCATCAATGTCCGACCCCGTGACAGCCTCTTTGATCTACAAATCATTTCAGAGCGACATGACAAATGGCAAGAGCGGGTCCCCATGCAGTTTAGACTAGAAAGGTGAAGTGTTAAATTAGATTTCACGAAAGGATGAAGGCGGGCGGCAATAACCCTAAAAACCCTAAACGATCACCTCCAAAGGAATATGAACGTGACACACTGGCACGTTTGATTCCGAATCCCGCGAAGTCTTCCCCATAGTCCAGGCCAACAGAAGGGCCCGCATGAGCACATATGGAGCTGGCAGGCTTTGACCTCAATCCTGAACTTTACACCCTAAACCGCCCTAAACCTCCCCGAGTGCGGAGAATCATGCCAATTCTGCAAAGAGTGGGTATCCTTTCAAGACTGCAGTGTTACAATTCAACTGCGCCTTTTTGTCGCGAGACTTGTGCGGCTGGCTGTGTTTCATGGCTAGCTGCTAAATCGGAATGCAAGTTTGCCTGTGAGAGGCGACACAGCCACAAGAACAAATGAGACTGCTTGTCTTGCAATGAAAGGCAACTTTTTTTGCTTCGTACGCTCGTTCAGTTGCGGACGGGTCCATCTTTTGAGGTTGCCCACGCTTGCACATGGGCGGGCATGTCGCAACCCAGATCTTCCAAAACACGGTTCCTCAATCAAGGATGAAAGCCGTTCATAAAGGTTGGCTTCAGAAACGATAACTAAGGTATGCTGCGGGTATATTACAATATTAACATACACACATATACTATTTCTAGAACTACAGATAATTTGCAATTGCATATTACATATTCAAGACATGGATATATGTTTTTTGGACGGCATACACATATGCATGGCTGGCCATTCGGCATTATAATGTTGCATGGTATTGCATCCTATATGTATACCTCGTGATGCATCTTCTAAAAACGCGTTTTCCTGAATGAAGGTGCTTTCGTTTGTTTCTCAGCTAGGGCTGGCCTTCTGGCTTGCCTGGGCTTTCAGGCTGTCGGTTCTCGAGAAACTCTTGGCGTGCACTGCCAAGCACTAGTCCTTTACGAATGTACGCTAGTTAATCGAAAAGAAGAGCACGTTTTCTTTCTTTTTCGACTCGTTGGCACAGAAAGAATCCCGATGAAAGGAGAAGCTCGGGCATCGGACGGATGGACTGCAGAGGAATGCTGGACGGAAGCTCCGGCCAGCAAATGCGGCATTTATCAGAACGTATATGGCGTACCGATAGTAAGAAAGGATCCCAGTGAGCATGGAAGCATCACAACTCAACAACGCTTTGGTTCTTTAAGTAGAGAAGTAGGCCACAGCGAAGACGGCAGTGTGGCAAGGAAGACAAAGGATGGTTGGTCGCGAGATGGAGGCAAAGTTCTGAAAATAACGGACCAGCACTGCAGAGCACAACCGACCGGCGAGCCAAGATCGTACATGCTATGCCGTTGCACGCAGGCAGGAAACACACGAGCGCATGCAAGTTCACTGCGGCACTCTTTCTTTTTCGACTCGTTGGCACAGAAAGAAGCCCGGTCGATGGAAGCTCGGGCATGACTGCAGAGGAATGCTGGACAAAAGCTTCAAAGGTTTCAGGCGACAGCTTTGACTCGACAGGGGTACAAAAAATCAGCATTCAAGCAGGAGCCAAGTAAACAGACTGATCGAGTTCCAAGGGATAAGTGTATGTCTGGAAGGCTGTGGGAAAAGCGGACCGCGGGACTTCAGAGCGGCGTGCAGCTTCAAAGCGCAAAAAAGTGGGTCGTAGCTCCGGCTCCGGCCATCCGCCAAGTCATTCCCAAAACCGGGGACGTGGTCAATGTGCACGGTGATGAATTGGCGTTCCTGAAGCGGGAAAAACGAAACAAATAACTCGTACCACCGGAAAACGAAAAACCTTTTCATGAAGCAGCATCCGAGGCGGAGTTGCAGCAGAAGTCTCCCTTAATAAACAATGAAAAGCCCACTAAAAAAAGAACTAAATACGATCAATGGCCCCTTTCTTCGCTTGGTTTTCCGGCAAAGAGAATAGCCGAACAACAAAACACATCAACCCCAACCCAACCAAAGCCACCGTTCTTGCGGCGGCTAATGACCATGAGCAACAGCAGCTCATACGTCACACAACTACGAAGGAGAGCTTGCCGTAGTAGTTGGTCTCAAAGTAACGCTGTCGCCCACAGTGATCAAAATTGTGCTCGCCAGTCAATCATTGTTGGCGTTCGCAGCAAGGGCTGGGGGGGTTGAAGGGAGGAAGGCTTCGAAGGCTTCGAGGCTGAAGATGCAGGGGGTTTCGTCAAGCTGCCCCTCAACACCCGCCCCTTCAACACCCCCTAAACCTCCTTTAAGCGCCTTACAACTGTGAATTTAGAGTTTAGACCAAGCCCCCTCCCCCAACCCCCCCCCCCCCCCCCCGCCTTTTGTTTACGTCAGAAGAGCATGTGTTGCTGTGTAGAGAAACGAGGGGGGCGGAATTTTGAGTAAGTCTCTGCTTCTCTTCTATTTCAACTTTTCGAATAATTAACCCGAAAATCAAAACCAAGAAACGAGGGCAGGTGGAATTTAGAATAATCTCTACTCAGTAAGGTCCGGGGAAGGGGTTCAAACCTGGGTTGAACCCATGTTCGAACTTTTAAGAGAGTTGAATTCAACCTGCGCAGCGCCCCAACCCTGGAATAAACTCCTCACCCTCTCCAACCAACCAGACTCTACTGACAGTGACTGGCTTGGCAGGGTCTCTCCCAAGGACCGGCAGCGCTGCACCAGAGGCTTGTAAAGCCTCCTGTGTCCCGCCTTCTCGTTCTGCTGCACCTTGGTAGATTGTTCTGCCTCGATGGTTCCTCGCGGCTTGTCCCAGAAAAAGATCGCGACTCTGCAATGAAACATCGGTCCCGCAGGGGGAACTTTGCATCAAAGTCCATGGCTCCACTACTCAAGACTCCTGTTGCCTCTCCTGTCATCTGTTCTTGGTGCAGTGGTTCAGTTTGGGCCAAGGGTCCAGCTGTAGAGCTTTGTGTCCTAGACTTTGCTGTGACATTGTCATATTGCCCAGGCGTTGGGCTCATCCCTCTTGAACTGCATGTGCAATTGATGGAGCGCACGCGCTGTTTTTTCCATGGCTGGGCAACAGATTCTTGTAAGTACGACTCTAACAACGCCAAACAAACACGCCAGAAACCAGCTTGTCTCTAGCTACTCTGTACACTGTAATTACGTACTAGAAGCTATAGACATGAACTCTGGCGTTCAGGCTACTCCCTTCTTAGCTAATGCAAGCAACGGATCGGACGCGCTCCTTTTTTCAGGTGTTGCTCCGGGTAGCGAAGAGTGCAAAGCAGTTCTTAAAGGACGCAAGATCACTCTGAGTTCACAACCCCCCTTGCTGTATTTCGGCAGTGCGTGCCTCTTGTAAGGTTGTGCGAACCTTTTGCTGTGCGAGCCATATGATGCTTCAGGGAGGGTTGGGTGGGTTTTCGAAAATCTTGCTGCGAAGATTTCCGGGGCGCTCGGCGCCCACTGCAGTGCGTGAGCCTGAACCCTGCGGTGATCTCAACATATGCAACGCCAAGACAAGCAGTAGCAAAACATGCGTGTATAAAAAAGAAAAGATCACACGCAACGTTCAGGCTACTCCCTTCTTAGCTAATGCAAGCAACGGATCGGACGCGCTCCTTTTTTCAGGTGTTGCTCCGGGTAGCGAAGAGTGCAAAGCAGTTCTTAAAGGACGCAAGATCACTCTGAGTTCACAACCCCTTCTTTAGTCCGGAGCAACTCCTGAATCTGCTACTGGGACCCCTACCGCGCTCAGGAGTGTTTCGGCCTCAGTGTTGTGTGCCGATGCGCAGGCAGAGGCTTCATTAATATATGCAGTGTACTCAACGTGAGACTGCAGTGCTTTGGTCTCTTTTTGCTGCGCATGCGGTTGCGAAAAGTGCGATTCTCATGCGGAGGCAGCCAGCAAAGAGCTAGCCCAGAATGCGTCTGGGGGGTGCAGGTGGATGCAGTGGCATCGTTCTGCAAGCATTTGCAGTGGAATGCGTACGCGTTCGTGCATGCGGTGCTGGAATCGGTGCATGCGGTTGCGGCTGAGCTCGTCTGCCCAGACATTTTTCTCCCCTGCAAGGTGGGAGACTGCTAGTTGCACGGAGTGCCTGTGCGCCCAGTCTGCGACTAGCTTCAGGAAAGATGCGAGTGGCTCGGTTGTACTGAAGAGCTTATTTATGCCGCTTTCGGCTGCAGTATTGTCGCTTGCTGTGGGTAATATAAATGACATGCTGGATGGCCTCGCCTTCAACCAAGCGGTTTGCAGGAGCGCGAGCTGTGCGAGGACTTCAAAGCAGGCGATATACGGCTGCGCTGAGTCTGTGAGGGCCGGCCAGGTGGCGCGGACCTCTTGCATGGTCCATGTTTCGCTGAACCATGCAAAGCCTCTGCTGGTACACATCCATCCCCCTATTCCAACCTGGTTGCCTTCTGCCATGGCATCTGCGGCGCTAAGGCATTGCAAAAGCTGCGGTTGGTGAAGGGGAGCGATGTTGCTGTGTTTGAACATTTGTTCAAGCCACAGCAAGGCTTCTTTGCTTTGCTTGCGGAGGTGCACTTCATGGCGGCTGGGGTCTGCCAGGCGCACCCACGTGCGCTGGCTGGTTTTGGGCACACGTGGGACGTCTGCTTTGCAAGAAATAGGAATGCTTCCGACTTCGAGAAGCTGTGCATTCTTTGGGAGCCACATACCTGCGGGGTTCTGCACTCGTGCCTGGTCGTCCAGCGCCTGGTAGAATTGCTGCCATTGCGTGGCCGGCACGCTGTGCAGGGTGCCTTTCCCACTGTGCAGGTCGCTGTAAAGCGGTGCAAGGAAGGGTCGCAGGTGCGGGGACATCGTAGTTGCCCAGACTAGGAGACCTAGGCAGGCCTCCAAGGCTTTGCGGTGCACTTTGGATGCACGGCGCAGTGCTGCGAGTTGCTCGAGCAGCTTTGCGATTTTGGTATGCACTAGTTGCAGGGTGTCGTTGGCTAGATCAAACGTCCAGCCGCACCATGTAATGCGGGGCCCCAGCTGTGCTTTGCGCCAACTTATCGGGGCGTTAATTGCGGTGAGTAGGCAAATGGTCAGGCAGGCTAGCTCGGCGCTGTGTTTTGCACACAGCATTGCGAATATGTCATCGACATATAGGAAACTGCGGTGCGGTCTATGGCTGAGGAGGCGGTGCAAAGTGCGGTGGATGACCGAGCCTAGTCTCTGCCACCAAAAGCTGCTAAACCTTGCACCAAAATGGCATACTTTATAGTAGTAGAGTTTGTGCTGGTGCCTGAAGAGCAGTGTGCCCCTTTCGTCTTCGCGCACTACGCATGCTTTGTGTGCGGCCTTGAAATCTAGCGATAGCCCGTGCCAGTAGCCGTGCGGGTCGCGGTGTGAGTATGTTAGCTGCACATCTTTTGCGGTAGGCATTTGCACGCGCTCGGGCAGGTGGCAGCGCGGATTTAGGTTGCAGATGGTGCTGTCAAGCACCATGCGTGGGTCGCGGCCCTGTGCGATGACCACGTTTAACTTGCCGATCGCTGTGCCTTTTGGCCAACGCCGTTTTGCGTCGGCTTCGGTGCCGTCAAATTGTGCAATGTAACCTTCGCGCAGTTCTTTGTCAATTAGCTCTTGCAGGACAGCGGGATTCTTTTCTGCTTGCGTCCAGTTGCCTGCGCAGTGTTGCAGGTGCAATGGGTCTGATTCTTGCGGATCGCTGAGTTGATTTGTGATCCATTGCTTGCTTGCGGGCAGCGGTGTGAAGGCGCCGGTAGGCACTCCTTCAAGGAGGATAGGAATGAGGTCCAGGTCTGGGTCATCGACATGCTGAGCTATGGCTTGCAGGAGAAGGAGGCGAAAGGGCTGGTCCTCCCTGATGCTAAGGCAGTTCGTATCCGTGCATCCAGGGTGCACGATTGCATGGGCTAGGCAGGCCAGGTCTAACTGTTGTTTTTCCGACAGGGGATGCGTGTCCTTTGCCTGTGACAGGTGCGTTGCCAATTGCTGCATGAGGTTGTTGTCCTGTACGTAGGACATGAAGGCTTCGCGCAGCTTTGACATGCGCTTGTCGTTGGACGGTAGAGAGTGGTCTGCTGTGCTGTTTTGTCCTGACCCGTCACAGACTAAAAGGCGGGGATGAGGCGGCATGGATACTGGCAGCAAGGACAGAGCGTGCTGTAGTGATATGCTGTGGAGCCCGGTTGAGCTGATGCGAGGTTGCGCAATCGTCAACAGTGCTTTTGCAAGCGTGCTGGGGTATTTTGCAGTTGTGGAGCTGGTGAATGCTCCCGAGGAGTCCCTCTTGTTGCAAACGGAGGTGTGCTCATCGCGGTGATGTTTGCAGACTGAGGCAAGGGATGCGGTTTCCCTGAGAGTGCAGCAAAACACCCATGCTTTGTGGATGTTCAAGCCGTGTGCGCAGGCTGCAACGTGCGCGCATGTGGCGTTGAGTTCGCACAGCAGTTGGACGTTGTCGTGCTCAAGCCAGGACATGGCGTCGACTGGTTGCTCGAAACCGCCATCCGCTCCTTTAGCGGTGGCAGCGCGGACGAGTGCGCGGCTGCGCGCATGGATCTCTGCGCTGGAGTCGACACGTTGCTGCTGCTCGCAGGGCGGCGCAGACCAAATGAAGGAGACTAGGCCTGACCAGCATAGCCTTTGCAGGATTGCATAGAAGCAATCATCGAGCACGTTGTGTTTAGGATTAGCGAGTGCGTCAATAGGCTCGATGCTGTCCAGGTTGAGCTCTTTGGCCGCTGCTGTAAGCGGGCTGGTCGTGCCCGCAAAAAGGTCTAGGAATAGGCGTGGCATGGTTGTAGTGATGCTGGGTGTAGCCGCATCAGGGTCTCGCGCGGATGCCTCTGAGCCGGAGGTGCTGGTGGTTGAGTAGTAGGAGTCGCTGCTTGGCGAGCGCGGGGCGGAGGGGCCCCTGGGGGGTCTATTGCAAGGGTTATTATCCCGGTTTCCGGGGGTCAGTGAGGCTGTGCAATTGGGATATGCGGCGGTGGGTTGTGCAATCGGGGCAGAGGTTATGTCCGGAGGTACCTCCCCGGCGGTAGGCTCCGGACTTCGTCAGGTGGAGGGCGGAGGCGGCGTGTCGCGGTGTTGCCAGGCTGCATGCTTCTTGCCGCACGGCTCCCCGTTGCTCTGCTTTACCCCGCAGATGTGCAGGAATTTGCAGTTGGGGTTGTTGCAGGTGCCTTTATTGAAGCGCAGGCATATTTTCTTGTCTCCTTTAGCGGTTGCCAAGTCCTGCGTGCTGTGGCCTGCGTAAGGCTGCTTGAGGGCATCGTTGCGGACACCTTTGCTGGTTTTGCCTTTGCCCTTGCCTTTGTCCTCCTTGCCCTTGCCTTTGCCTTTAGGGGTATTAGGTGGCCTAGGTCGAGGTTGCAGCAGCGTGTGCAGGTCGCTGCGAATGTGGGTAAGCTCGTGCAGTGAATCGTCCAGTGACCAGCCGCGTGCGCACATTGCGGATAGTTCGCTCCAAATTTTGCGGTCTGCCTGCAGTAATTCTGTCATGTTGACAGTTCGCAGTCCCAGGTCTGCTGGGATGTTTGCAGTTGCGTAGTCAAGGACTTTGGCGTCGAGCTCTTTTAGTGCGGCAAGATGTGCGCCTCCGCAGAGTGCGATTGCGTTGCGGAACACTTGCTGGATCTTGATAAGCCAGCCGTGCGTTAGGCGGTTGGGGTCTATGCTCAGCTCGGGCGTGTCATCTATGAGCGCCGCGCTGATGAGCTGTGCTTCAGTGCGGAGGGTTTTGCCTGTGCGGGCGACCAGTATCTCCTGGTACTGCTTTTCTGACATGCGCAGTTGCCAAGGAACCCATTGAGGGTTGTTGCCGGGGCGGAACCACTGGTAGACTATGCTTAGCAGTCTAATGCTTGGCATGGAGTTGCCGTCCAGTATTTCGCCTGGATAGTTTGCGGCGAATGTGTCCTTCATCGTCTGCACTGCGCTGTTTGTCAGGCGCGGCGGTGCATGCTCGGCCCAGACGTTCTCGGCAATGTGCGCATTGCGAGTGGCGCTGGTGGCAGGTGCAGGTTCTTGGCTGCTGATGGCCGGGCCGGTGCCTGAGGTGATGGTTTGGCATCGCGCCAATGTGCGGCGGAGTCTCCCGATCACGGGGCTCCAGGCGGTATCCTGAACTTGCAGTTCGTCCCAGAGTTCCTGGGGCTGTGCTGTCAGCCATGCATCGAGGTAATGCTGCTCGGGCAGGCTGAATGCTAGATCTGCAATGGTGCGGTAGCCTGAGGCTCGCAGTGCTTCGAGCAGGCGTTGTGGGATGCCCATATCTGTGCATAGCTGCTCGAAACTTTGCACAGAGTCGATGTCCATTGCGAGTCGTAATTAGGCTGGGCTAGACTACAGGTTGCGAAGCGCTATGTCGGGTCGTGTAAGCACTACTGTAGTTGCTGCATGTGTTTGTTATTTAAAAGGAGGGCCGAAATGGCTGCGGGTGTGAGCTGGGGGCGGCAGGCGACAAACAAGGCGCAGCAAACTCTGGGCTTCTGGCTAGTCGGAAGCAGCTCGGGCTCTCTTGCACGCGGCACGTCCACAGAGGCTTGTGGCATTTGCGATTTGGATAAGGAAGGCGCTCGACCGGATGGGGGCTCCGCAGGCAGTGCGCAGGCATCGCATGTTGCGATTTTCATGCAGGTATTGTTCCCAGCTTGTGGCTGTAACGCAGTGTGTTGCGGCCCAGGCTCCGTTGCGGATTCCTGTGCCGAGGGCAGTCGGCTCTGGCAGCGCTTCGTCTTCGGATTCTTGCGTGGACGGAACTGATGCTACTGTGGATGCAAGGTCTTCCTCGGTTGAGGATTCATGCAGCAGGCGCATTGCGGCTTCTTCAACCTCTAGTGCTTCTAGGTCCAGGGTCGGCCGGGCCGTGTGCGGGGGCATATGCATTTGCTGAAGGGCTGCGTCGTCTTGCTCGTCTGCGTTGCTTTGCAGCAATTCATGTCGTGAGACGAAGCGTGCCAGTGCTGGGTCACGAAGTTCTTGCGCGGTCAGGTGCGGCTGTTGCGGATCCGCATTGAGCGCGAAGGGCGGTTCTGGCACGGGGGCCTGCCCTCCGCGGGACATGGAGCGCTGTGGGCGCCATCCTGCGTGCAGGGCATGGCGCAGGTCTCGCTGTATGCCGAGGCTTGCGATGGTGTCGTCGCGCGAGTATAGGGCTGCGCTGTCGCGGTGGTGACCTTGCTGAAGGCGTTTTTCTTTGGGAAGCTCTCTTTGCGCTGCGGCGGCAAGGAGGCAGGACTTAAGGCTATGCAGGGTTAGGGCCAGGGCCTCCATGTGCTGTAGCAGTTGGTTGGCTTGGGCTAGCCATGGTGCGGTGCATGCCCAGCGCAGCACGCGAAGGCTGTGATGGTAGCTGCTGGGCAGCGCATGCTCCGGCGGATTGCCGGTGATATTGCAGTGCATGAAAAGAAAGTCAGGGTTGTTGTGTGGGTGCTTTGCGAGGTAAAAATGCAGTAGGGAGAGCCATGCGACCACCCACGAGGTCTTTGCGGTTGCGCCTGAGAAGCCAAGCCAATGCACTGCCCAGGGTTGCCCCTGCTTTGCGGTTTTTGTCTGATAACAAATGCCGCGCAGTGCGGTTGCGGTGAGGTCCAAGCTGGACCACTCAATGCGTTGTGCGTCGCCCCAGCGGATGCTGGCATGGATGCAGACAAGTGCAGCGCCGAGCCAAAGGCGCAGGGCAATGGGTGCAAGTGCGTCACAGACGCATTGTTCGAATGCTATTACACAGGCCATGGGCAGTGGCATCGCCTCTCGGCGGTCGTGCGGTTGATCTCGCAGCGTGTATGCTGAGATCAGGGGCATGTACATTGCTGTGGAAAGGCCTTCTATTTGCGCATGTTTAGCAAGCCAGCGGAGGGCTTTCACGCACATGACCGGCGGCGTGCGGTGGCAAGCGCGGTCGCAGATTTTACTCTGCTGGGCTGAATGCAGGTAATCTGCCACACAAGGCCATGTGCAGTCGGCAATGTTGCACTGCCACATGCTGAGGTAGTCCAAAAACTGCTCAACGCATCGCAGGTAGCGGTCTAGTGTGCTTGCAGTGTTTTTCACAAGGGCCTGTGACACATGCGCGTGGAATGTAGGGCGCTCGTGCAATTGCGCAAACAGGGTGCTGGCGCACCCTATAACGAGCAAAATGCGCATGAAGCGTGAAATTGCCCGGTGCTTCCGGGTTGCATTTTGTGCTCTGGTGGTAAAGATCTCGGGCTTGGACGTCAAGCACGGTGCGGTGCTGTGCAGATATGGCGTTCTTGCGACAGGAGCAGGCTTGGTAGCAGCTGGTGCAAGGGCCGCTCTCGGAGTTGCAGTCTGCAGTGTTGTGGGCACTCTGTTGCTGGAGCTGCCCGGTCCACTCATGCGCAGAGGCGGAGGTTGCCTTTGCAAGCTTTTGGGTGCGGCTTTGGGCTTGGGTCTGGGCTTAGGGTTAGCAGTGCTTTGCTGCGACGACTGAACGGGGCCATGGTGCGGTTGGATTTTGGGATCAGGCGGCGGTGCTTGCAGCATGCGAGCAGGAGGCCTGGCTCTGGCTGCTTGCAGGGGCCACCAGGCTTTGCAGGGTGTGAGGTCTATAACCCTATGCCTAGGGGTGGAGGCTCGGGATCTAGGGAACGTTGCTGATGCCTTGGGAGGCGGAGTTCTTGATGCGGCATTGCGGGTTGCTGAACGCAGGGCAGGTGCAAAAAGGACACTGCTGAGAGGCAGTGGAGGCGGTGCAATGGTGTGGCTTGAGACTGGGTCTCCCAGGCCGATGATTGCATTAAGCGCGGTGCTGCAAATGCCGGGAAGCTCGGAGGCTTCGTCATTTGCTTGCTCAAGCACCTGCGGGTCAGAAAAAGCATCTTCGCTGTAGTCAATGGTTGCAGGCAAAGTGTGCGGGTTCTCTGGTGCATTATGCAACAAGGCTGGTGCATGCAGCTTGCCGTGGCTTTTGCTGAAGGCTACTGAGCTGGAACACGCGTCGATGTCGTCGCTGAGGAGGAAGAGCGGTCGACCTGGGCATTGGGCGAGGTAGGGCTATGGGTTAAGGGAAGGGCGGTGCAAGCACTTGCGGTGCAGCCTAAGGAAGCTCTGCTGGCAATGCGTGCAGTTTGCAGAGCCCAACTTTTTTGCGACTGCGGCCTTGCGCTGTGCTAGGCCTGCTAGATCGCTGCTTGGGACCCCCCCCTTTTGCGTGCATCTTTTCTGAATGCGAGGCTCATGGCCTAGTGCGGGGGGGGACCCATGCTGCTCCAAAAAAGAAGAATGCAAGATTGAGCGGTGTGCGCGTGCAGTGTGCGTGTGCAGCGTGCAGCGTGCATTGCGGCGTGCAGTTAATTCAAGGGCTGTATGCTAACGAGACCGCGGTCTGCATTGCGTTGCGCTTTGCATTGGCTGCAGGTATGATGCGTGTGCGTGTCGTTGCTAAAGGGGACGGGCAGTGGGTAATTGCAGGGCGCGGCTCCGCCGTAACTGCAGTCGGGGTCGTTGCAGCGAATAGCGCAATGCGGTGTCCCCTTTTTGGGGTTGCGGTACCAGGGTTTGCCCTGGGCAGTAAAAAAGATTTTGCGGTTGCAAAGGTTTGCCTGTGCAGGTTCGCACCCTTGCGGAAAATAGCCTAGCGGTGGGCGCTTGTGGCAGTCGTGCAGTGGGATTGGCGGTCCGACTCCGAAGTTGATGTCGAAGCCGTTTTGCATGGAATCCGTTTGCGGTGCTGATGGCTGCGGCTGCTGTGTGGGCTGTGGGTCTTGCCGGTTCGGCGGCTGCGGAAAGATGCTGCGCGGTGGCCCTTGTGTGGGCTGCTGTGCTGCGGGCTGTTGCGGTGTTTGCTGTGGATTGGGCCCGTGGATGTGGTCTGGCAGTTTGGGGGGCGGCTTCTTGCCAGGCGGCTCTTTTGCTGTGGGCTGCTGCTTTGGTTGCGGTGCTGTGTCTTGGATGTCGGCCCAGGCTTGCCTCTGTTGCTGCTGCGGTTGTGGCTGCGACTGCTGCTGCTGCTGCTGTTGCTGGAGCAGATTTGTGAGCAGTTGTGACAGCTGTTGCACCCCATCTGCCGAGGAGGAGGATGCGGTCTGCTGTGTCTGCTGTGGTTCTGGGCCCGCGGATTGCGTTGCGGTAGTGCTCTCGGGCCAGGGCGGTGGTGGCATGTCATCATCGCAGGTGCCGTCGTCCGGGTAGGGCGGTGCATGCATGCTCTCTGCGGGCGCGGGTGCGGTAGCTGCATATGCGGAGGCTGGGAGGTCTTCCCACTGATGCAGTACTGTGTCGCGCCAGCTTGCGTCGCAGTACTCTGCATGGTACATGCCTGCGGTTGTGCATTGCAGTGTGAGGAATGCAATGCGGTGCTGTTGCCGGGTTGGCAAGTGCAAAATGCTTTCACGCAGTTCATCGTCGCTAGCCTGCAGAATCACTTGCCAGGCGGACTGCATGTTTGACATGGGCCCGGCGGCTGAATGCAGTAATTGCTGGGTGCAGTTATGCAGTTAGAAGCTGTGAAGCTGTGAAGAGCGTCAAAATGCACTGTGCATGATGTGCTGTGTGCGTTCCTGAGGCGGTGCTTGCAGCATGCCATGACTGCAGTGTATTGTGTGGATATGAGTACATGCAGAACCTGCGGTCTGCGACACTTGTGCCTCTAGGGGCTGTGCTGACTTGAGCACTGCAGGGGCACATTGCGAGTGGCAGTAATGCAAAAGGCGCAGAGACTGATGACACTGTTGCAAGGCGAGCAAAGTCTTGCCGATGCTGAGTGCTGCGCAGAAAGTATCGTCCTGCGGCTCAACAGCGGTACCTGGCCCATGCGAGGCTAAAGTTGCGGTTCTGCGGCTATGCACAGACACAGAACAGCATGCGACTGTTGCTAAAAGATGCTGCAAGTGCAGAAAAACCAATGCGTGGGCACTGCAAGTCACTGCGGTGACTGTACCTGGCTCAAGCGAGGCTAGAGGCCAGAGGCCAGAATGCACTTGCGGGTTCCCTACTGGGAATGCGGTATGCCAGATGGTCGCACTTGCGGTGGCGAGCTCGTCTGATGCCTGGCGGATCTAGAATTCTGCTTCAGCAGTGCGTGCTGCTGGGAGTGCACTGGCCTCCTCTTCCAGCGATGTTTTGCTGGGGTCCATGCGGGACCTCGCCAGGTCTTATGCAGTTCTAGCTTGTCTTGCGGGCTAGAATGTGTTGCAATCTGGGGCCATCGCTTCGGCTCGAGAGGATAAGTTTCTAGGAGGCTAGTGTCAAAGATTGCTGGCAAATTAACGGTCAAGTGTTGCTTCTTGCTGTTTTCGAAAATCTTGCTGCGAAGATTTCCGGGGCGCTCGGCGCCCACTGCAGTGCGTGAGCCT